AGTTAGCCGCGGGCGCGTTATTTGTAATATTTTATTTTCCAAGTGACCGTGGGGCAGATTTGAACAAAGCAAACAGGGCAGATTTGAACGGGACATTGAAATGAAATGAAATGAAATGGAATGAAATGGAATGAAATGTCATTTATTATTAATTTATTGTAATTAATTATTTGCATGCAATTAAAAACTAATTTTAAACGATGCCAAAGAAGGATAACTTCTCACGCGCCTACATAAGTACACGCACCCATTTTTTCTTCGTTTATCAGGTAGATTATCAAAAAGTATTGGACACGTATTTTTTCTTTTTTCACATAATATAAACATTGCAGAGATATATTGATTTGAAAAGTCGCATGACGTCACGTTTGAGTACACTTATAAGTGAAAATTCACTCAAAAGTGACGTCACGAGCCCCTACTCACAAACTTTGACGCGCTATAACTTTGTCATTTTTTGGTTGATTGCCCAAAGAAAAAATACGTGTCCATTATTTTTTGATCATCTAACTGACGGACTAAATAGAATTTCGTTTACTGTACTCCGTCATCACCCCTATTAAAATGTGAGTGGACATTGTATTAGTAGCGTCATATTTTTTTTGTTAATGTTGCTACCTCTTTTTAATGCTGATGAATTTCTTGCACCCATTCTTCTCATCAGATGGTGTTAATTTTGTATTTTTATTTTATTAAAAAAAAAAATACAATATTAACACCATCAGATGGTGTTAATATTGTATTTTTATTTTATTAAATATTATATTAGATCCACAAAGATCGCCTACAAACTTTGTTAAAGATAAATAAACAAATATATCAGCTAAAAGATGTCCTAAATGAGTGGTAGGAAAAAATATTGGACGATTCAAAAGAGCTTACAATAAGTCAATTTATTTCATTTCATTTATAATGTGGTTTGATAAAGTAATATTTAAACGTTAAAATTACTTACGTACTTCATTTTTGTAACTGTGTTAACAGTATGTGCATTTTTTGTCGGGATGGGCATTCACCGGCCTGGTGGATCCCCGATGGAGTACCGAGAAGCTTTTCAAGCTTTTCGTTCCACGGATGTGCGCAGCAGCACTAGGCAGGGTCCTCCCAAACGTGGGGGGATTAGGAGATGCGTGCCGTCGACTGTATCACGGGGTGATACGATCGATGGCACTTTATGGAGCCCCAGTTTGGGTAGAGTACCTCAAACCCCGGACGGTGGATCTGCTGCGACGACCGCAGACGACCATCGCTACCCGGGCCGTTTGAGCGTACCGAACGGTCAGCCACGGCCAGGGCCGTCTTTCACCTATTGGAGGCCCTGGGCATATTAGGATAATGGGGCCCCTATAACTTTGATGTCGATTATGACTTGAAATGCAGCGAGTTAAATAAAAGCTAGTAAGTTTGTATTGTAATCAGTAGTTTAGGTTCGATTTCATTCAAATTAAAATAGGTTTTTGGTAGTAAATATTGGTTATCGTTTGGTGATCTGACATGAACTAGGGACTTTGTATTTGACCATACCCCTAGGGGTAGGGTGGGACTGAACCATACCACCGTTGTAGTGCTGGGATTTTATGAAAAAATAGAATAAAAATAGATACCTAACAGATACAAATATTTAGTTTATTAAAAAAACCGAAATGTTCTTAATTTGTCTAACGCATGCCCAATGGTGATTTCGTTGTGCACTAACTGCATTTGGACTTCTGTTATAAAATCATCATTAATCTATACTTATAATAAATCTGTAGAGAGGTCAATTCTGTACATGAAATATATTTTCAAAATAACTATCAGGGGGTGATTAGTGATCGATACTGATGCCAAAAATGCAATCAGTAAAATTTTTGTCTGTCTGTCTGTCTGTCTGTGTGTTTGTTCCTTATAGAAACAAAAACTACTCGACGGATTTTAACAAAACTTGGTACAATTATTCTTCATACTCCTGGGCAGGTTATAGTATACTTTTCATCACGCTACAATCAGTAGGAGCAGAGTAGTGAAGGGAACTGTTGGGAAAACGGGAGAAGTTACTCCATTTTTTAAGCTTCCGTGGCGTGTGCAGCCTTAATGGTTAAAGTTACATAGAAATCATGTATGACGGAAATATTCTACATAAAATTGTCTAAAAAATATCCCGCAACAGCATATGTCTATCTTTTATGGTTGACTCACAATAACACGTGTAACTCCTGATAGCTTAGCAGTTCGGAGCATTCTGATCATATTTGTTTACTCTTACGTTTATAATACTCGGTATAGAAACACCAAACTTATACATGAAATAAGCCATCACACCGTCGCACGTGAATACTGAATCATGCTATAAGGATTATTTTTGTGTAACGGTTGCCGCGCTCGACACGGGTCGCGGCAGCGGTAGGGTATCAAAGGTCCGAGAGCGAGCTGTCTAAATCTGTTTTCTGCGTCGCTCCCCCCCTGGGGGACGATCGCTTCCGATGAAGCCTTAGAGGCCTTCCCGGCCAGAGGCAGCCCCTACGGGTGTTTTTTAGTCAGTACGAGTCTGACATAACCTTGCAGCCGGCTGTAGGGTATCCATGAGGATTTCTCATCTGCTCCCCCGCCTGGGAGACCGAAACCGTGCTTATCAGCGCGACTTTTAGTCTTTAAATAGTTTATTTGAATTTCTTTTGTTGTTATTTTGTAAAACAGGTATTAGTTGTTTTGGTAGTGTTTAAATATTCGTTCAAATTAAAAATTATTAAGCGTAGGTACTTTTATTAATTAAAGTAGTTATAAGTATTTATTTTTAAGTGAAGGAGGTATAGGTAGATAGTATTGCACAGGCGTTTCAGCTTTATTTTCATTTCTTTTTTGTTGTGAGTTGTATATATTTCTGATTATAATTCCATAAGAATATTTTAATTCAAATAGTCACTTAGATTTTATGTGTAAGGTAGCTAAAGTTAGGACCACGTATTAGTTGTTTTGGTAGTGTTTAAATATTCGTTCAAAGTGTAATTTAATCATATAGGATGAATGTACGATGGCCCATCGAAAAGGAGTAGAAGCGGTAGACAGAACTTTAAGAGATATAAGACAAAATGATCGACCCATGGGCGGTATCACAGTTTTATTTTGTGGTGATTTCCGACAAACCTTAACGGTAATACCACGGGGAACCCGAGCTGCTGAGGTTAGGGCTTGCCTGAAAAGCTCTTATTTGTGGCGTGATATACAATCGGTGCATTTGACTATTTATTTGACTATAAACATGCGAGTGGGAACTGTAGATAACCCGGATGATCGTGAATTTTCTGATATATTATTAAAGAAAATACCTTCACCAAAGATACCTATCCACTGCTACACCAAGGAACACTTATTCTGACGCCTGAGTTATGTTGTATAGTGCAATCCCAACAACATCTTACATCGTCAGTTTACGGTGACGTAACAAATATATTAAATAAGAACAATTCTTGGCTATGCGAAAGGTCCATTTTAACTCCTCGCAATGACCAGGCATCTGAGATTAATAATAAAATACTGTCGAATATCCAGGGGGAAAGCAAAGTTTATAGTTCAATAAATAGAATGGCCGATGAACAAGAAGCCACTAATTACCCGATAGAATTTTTAAATTCTTTAAATGTGCCCGTACTTCCTTCTCATGAAATTTGTTTAAAAATTGGCATTCCGATTATTCTGCTCCGAAATTTAAGACCACCACAAATTTGCAATGGAACTCGGCTTAAAGTAACCCAGTTGCAACAAAATGTAATCGAGGCTCAAATTTTAATAGGTTGCGGTGCAGGAGAAACCATCTTTATTCCCAGAATTCCCATACTACCAAATAATTTTCCATTCCAATTTAAAAGAACGCAATTCCCAGTATCGGTGTGTTATGCAATGACAATAAATAAGGCTCAAGGGCAGACCTTTCGTGTTGTTGGAGTAGATCTCGGTGTCAGTTGTTTTTCACATGATCAGTTATGTCGGTCTTTCCCGGGTTAGCAATCCTAGAATTTTTTATGTTCACGTTCCGGACGGGTCAAATTTCAACGTAGTCTACCCGGAAGCTTTGCGCTGAAGTATTTTCATTCTATATGTACTTAAGACTCATGTGAAAGCGATCTAAACAATATTACCAATACATTAACATAATAACATACAAGGAGTTACACGCTGATGGTCTCGGGGCACAGTGATAATAATAATATTCTGCGGTTCCTTATTGCGATATTTTTAACAGTATTATATTTCCCTACTAAAATACGAAAGTTAATCTGTCTGTCACATCAAAACCACGGAACCCTGAGGAAGGACATATGCTACTTTTTTACGAAAAACGACGATAACGCGGGCGAAGTCGCGGGCAAAAGCTAGTCATTAATAAATTGTTCCGCTCGATGTTTTTTAGGAGTAACTTTTGTTTTATGAATATTGTAAAGAACATTGACTTGATTGAATATTGTAAAGACAAATCTAAATAAGAATACAGTAACTTTAATGCGACTGGCATTAAAATTTAGAATTTTATTCAATTTTAGGTACCTACGTATTATTCGGAAAAACAAAACCTGAAAGCATATAGTGCACAGCACTACGGTGGTATGGTTCAGTCCCACCCTACCCCTGGGGGTATGGCTAGGGGTATGGTGGGTCTGTCATGCCCCCTATCGATCACGGGGCCCTGGCACTTGCCCAAAGTGCCCACTAGGTAAGACGGGTCTGGTCACGGCGCCGCCTGCGTACTCGCGGGTGTGACGCCGTGGGATCTCAATGCACAGGTCCTGTTAGTCCCGGCTGCATCTGTAGTCGTTATCACCCACCAATCCGCACTGGGGCCGCTCGGTTGGTCAAGGCCCAGTCTCCTTAATCTAAGTGCTGGACTGCAAGGGCACAGGACTTTCCTATATCCCCACATTAAAAGGCTGATGACGAAAATGTTCATAATAACTTTTGATGCTCTGCTAAATAGGAAATGCGTGTAATGAGTCCACAGCTTCAAGTATAAATAAACATTTCTTTATTCAATAGTCATTTGTTTTGAATACGGTCTTGGGGTCGGTGATTTCGCATATGAATGGCACCCGCTCGCTACAATCTATGTCGTAGAGGCCCAAGTGGTTTCTGTTAACGGCGCCGCAGGACTCTGTCAGAACGTTTGGCTCACCATCAGACCACTGAGAGTAGCCAGACTCCTCGATGCGTTTGCCTGAAATGATATTTTAAGGTTACTCCGTCTGCGTGGCATTATTGGATTCACATACAAACACCCACGGGTACATTTTTCCCAACCCCTTAAGATTTCTGGAATAAAAACTTTGGTAAATCCTTTCCCGGGTCTCAAACTATCTCCTTACCTCATCTAAATCAGTTCAGTAACCGTGAAGGGGGACAGATTTAATATAGACGAACTTTCTATTTTTTATAATAATGGTATGGATAGTGGGATGCCAAAGTCTAATGGCGTTCTGTCTCTGTGCCTACCTAGCTTGGCGTACGGTGCTCTTGTGATAACTATTGGAGAATGGAAACCAGGAAGACAGTGTTACTTCCATATGGATAGGAAGATTGTTTTTTAGAGAATTATTGTCTTTTCTTTTGTTGTTTTAAGTAGGTATATTCAATTAAAAGATCATTTATTCAGTTTAGGCTTTTACAATCACATGTGGAAGTCGAAAACTACGTCATCGGTTCGCAAAACTACGGCGGGAGACCTTGTACTGAGAAGAACCGGCAGGAAACTCAGCAAGGGATACTTTTCTCCCCCTGTTTTATTTCATACAGTGTTGTCACATGTACAAATTAAAGACCATTATATATAACGACTACGATGCTGTCGCCTACTCGAGAGGTCCTGGGTTCGAGTCCCTGTGGGGGCAGATGTTTGTGTAATGAATACGAGAATTTGTACCTGATAGGATGGACGGATGATGGTAGGATGATTTATATCAACATAAAATATACTTTCAGTAATGTGTTCTATTTCTTACCCTAGTATCCTCTAACACAAACCAATCGGTGCTGACTTTGGGGCTAGGCTAATTGGTGTGAGTGTTAGAAATATTTTTAAGCTATTGAATAGCTTTTATCGCGGGCTTTGAGCGCGGTGACCGAATCAAGAAATTCCGTAACGGGAAAAATCTGTCGCCCTCGTCAAAACGATGCACGGCTTGCAGCGGTGCGGCGTTGAAAGATGGTTGAAAGCCGTGCATCGTGTAACGCCGCTTTCAAATCGGTAGACTTCGGCAAGGTATTTGTGTGCGTGCGACTAGACGTATGCGTGTAGCGTATGCGTGTTTATAAACCTATAGTTTTAATGACAAAAAATTCTGAATAACCTACATGTATTATAAGATAATAAAAATATTTTAAATAATATTAACTTCTCATTTATTCAATAAAAGAAAAACAAATGTTTTCTTGTCGGTCACCACGCTCAAAAATAGTAACTTGAATCAATATCAAAGAAAAAATAATACTGTATAAATAAAATAACTAAATAATTATAATTGCATAAGTTATTAAAAAATGCTATGCAACAGCTTTACCGCGACAGTCTCCGAGTGCCACAAGTACTTTTTATTTATTTAATTATTATTCTGGTGTAAAGCTGTGAAGTAGGAGTAGATGGGAAGTTCGAAGAGCGAAGTACAATACCGTCAACCGTGAACCAGAATGAGCGTTCGAAGCCCACGTTGTGGAATCCAATGTGGACGAACGCCGCCGCGTGGCGGACCGTGTTCCCATTACAGTTGATGGGTCTCTTGGAGAACCTTGAACAAATAGTGTACATGATTATACACAAAGTATTAACTCTTTCCACACAAAATATATTTGATGATCAGGCGAGTTACTGGCATATAATGATTTTCTCACACAATTTTGTGAACCTCCACAAATGGGTGGTAGGAAAAAATATTTCACGATTCGAAAGTTACAATAAGTCAATTTGAATAAAGTAATTTCATTAATCAATTCATTCGTTCTGAGGAGCACGATGGCGCAAGTGGTTAGCGCGTTCGGCTGCGATCGTTGAAGTTAAGCAACTTTCGCAGTGGTCGGTCACTAGATGGGTGACCAAAAATTTACTATCTCGAGCTCCTCACTAAGGAGAACGTTAAAACTGTGCCTTCGGAAGGCACGTTAAGCCGTTGGCCCCGGCTGCATCTGCAGTCGTTGGCACCCACCAATCCGCACTGGGCCCGCGTGGTGGGTCATAGCCCAATCTCTCTATACCATCCATAGGAAAGGCCTGTGCCCCAGCAGTGGGGACATTAATAGACTGATGATGATGATGATGAATCAATTCATTCATTTCATTCGTACAGCATTTAAAATGGTAGAAACGGTAGGTTTAAAATGGTACCTTACGCTCATTTTCTTTAATATTGTTATTATCAATGCAAAAGAAAAAGCTCGTGTTTTTTTAAGCGAGGCCTTTCAAAACCTTCAGCGGTTAGAAATAAGAAAATGAAATCATAAGCGATAGCCATTGCAATCTCGTTAGGCGATTGCCCCACTGCTTTGCTAACATGCTAGCTTTGTTTACATGAGGCTACTTTCATCATCAGCCTATTAACGTCCCCACTGCTGAGGCACAGGCCTTCCCTGTAGATGGAATAGGGAGATTGGGCCGTGATCCACCACGCGGGCCCAGTGCGGATTGGTGGGTACTAACGGCTGCAGATACAGCCGGGACCAGCGGCTTAACTTGCCTTCCGACGCACGAAGGAGCTCGAAATAATAAATGTTTGGTCACGTAAGTTACAGGACTTCTAAGATCGCAGATTGAACGCTAACTTAGGCAATCCAGCTCGTCCTTGAGACAACATAATAATCACAAAGTAGCTACATTAGTATAAATACAGCACAATCTTTATCTTTTAGCCGTTGGTCCCGGCAACATCTGTATTCGTTGGCACGTATCTGAAAGGCGCTTTGCAGACGACGCCGACGGGGCGGGGCGGGCCGGTCAATTTCGCCGCGAACGATAGCACAAAGTGAATTCTATATTACAAACGCAAACAGAGGGCAAAAAGACCGCGCCGCAGGTGCCCGGCGGACACTGGCGGCGCGGCATGTCCGCCGCTGCCCGCCGGATCATACCGACCAGTTTATATGCAGTAACGCAGACGGCGGCGCGGGGCGCCACGCGCTTTTTAGTGGTGGTCTATTCACTAGAACGAACGTCCTGAACTGACCGCCTCTGCCCGTCGTGTGCTTTGTGTACGCGGCGCGGGCAGCCGCAGACATCGACGGGCAGATTTTATTGCTTCGCGGACAAAATGCCCGCCCCGCCCCGTCGTCTGCAAAACGCCTAAAGGGTTCGCAGGCCGCTACGAATGTAAAGGCGCAATGTCCACAGACCATCCATAGGGAAGGTCTATGCCTCAGCAGTGGGGACATTAATAGGCTGATAATATTGCCTCTAGGTTATTGAATACTTGTCAATCATAAGCTGCGCCTCTCGTGCGCTGTTCAGTATGAGGAGGTGCGCGCCCTCCGCTGCGCAGATCATGCTGGCGCGGTGCCACCTCACGCAGTCATAGTGGTACTTGTAGCAGCTAGTAGATGCGGGATCCAACTCATATCCTGACAAAAAGGAATATAAATATTGTTTTTATGTTTAAAAGCTATCAAACAAACGTATGGCCCGCCTGATGGCAAACGACCACCAAAGCAGAGCTTGTTTACCGGTTAATTTTCAAACCTAAATCAGTGTCGAGTACATTAGGAGCGTTTTATTTAGGTTTGGCTCTACCTTAACCTTAAAAAACCGGTTATTCTAAAAAGCGAAATCAAATAGGTTTTAAATCAATTTAGCGGTTATAAAAGGGTTTCATTTCGCTCTTACTGACGGCATGGATAATAAATGAATAACTTGACTCACTAGACGCTAGCAAACGTGTCAATAAAAGCATCAATCTCTGAGCATTAACAAGTTGTGACTTGATTAGTTCAAGCGAAACAAACTTCAAGCGATGCCGACGCGTACACGTGTCGCTCTGGATTAAACCGGTTTATTAAGGTTTTAGGTACCGTTTTCATTTGACGCGCTCCGAACGAAACCTTTACTAAAATCCGGTATTAACCTTTATTTACCGGTATTTTCGAAACCGGTTTCAAGCCCTGCACCAAAGCCTATAGACGCTTGTGATATCGAAAATATCACTCGCACCGTTGCCTACCCTGACCCATTCCCGTGCCCCGTGGAGCCCTGAAACCTAATATATAACCTAATTTTACTGTGATACTCTACAAGGTGAAGGTTACTTCCCCAAACGGGCGCGGACGCTTCAATTCGAGCAGTATTTCCGCTATGTCCCACCTCTCATAAAAATGTTCCCGTAAGACACAAGCAAAATATAATAAACTGAAGAAGCGAAAGTGGTGTGTCAGAATCTGAAAGAATTGATTGATTGATCTCTGCATTTTTAATGCTGTTGAGAAATAGTGGAGCGCCTGGGGGTTTATACCTCGGATTTTTGCAACAGTGAATGAAATTAAAAAAATCTAAATGGAATGTTTAGCTAATAATACATACATAGAGTCTGTGCGGAAAGAGAATGGGATTTAGATTGGAGGGCGCTGTAGTGCTTTTCTACCGTAATTGTAAGGTTTTACCCCTTTTAGACATGATTAAATACAAAAAACCGCAACCAATCACAACAACAAACAAATCTGTATCAATACAAAACTTTGACGTTTTACAACAGATTGCTGGGTTTGATTGCAAAATAAAAATCTTAATGTTAGTTCCGTTTTTCGCCACGCCCATTCTATTTCCGCACAGACTCTAAAAGTTTACCTACCTACAACTACCTATTAAAAAATTGTGATCATGTTTTTTTCAATGAGTGCGCCTTGCGGTATTGTCATATGATTTGTACCTACTTGGTGTATAATTTCGTTACTTAAATATCACTAGCCGCTTTTAATATATGAAACGCCTCTTCTTTTTAGGGTTCCGAAGAAGAAGACTCCACTAAAGTCCGTCTGTCTGTCTTAACTTTTTTATATGTATTATATAAAAAAGTTAACTATAATAATAACTGGACTAAAAGCAGGCGTTACGTTTTATGAGTAGGCAATGAATTGTTTGGCGGTGAAAACTATAAACTGTATGCACAGATTACTTAACATTTTCTGTAGGTTTTACCTACGTTCAATCGCTCCCACGAGCCACTTCTAAATTCTCGATAAAATCCATACTTTAGCGATTTTATAAAGCTTATGATTTCGACCTTCAGGTTCAACATCCAGACCTAAGAATTCAAGGCTGCTCGATGAATGAACACCGCTTCAAATAAAAGCGCTGCTAGCATTGAATACAACTTCTTAAACATAATTAAATAAAAGACTTCGTTATAAGCGTACCTTCTGCGAATGTTCCACAGTCCTTGGATCGGATCTCATTGCCAGTTTCCTTCCGGTAGCATATGTAGGGGAGCACTTTGTCGCTCCTTACGTCAGCGAAAGTCCCGTCTGCGAGAATGGCCAGGCTGTGCTCTTCATTGTTCAAGTTGTTGGGCTCCCCTTTCGCCCACTGAATACGCAACTGCTGCAGCGGTACTCCTGCGAGGTATGAAGTATAGATTTACAGACGGATGTTCATGTATGTCAATACATGTACGTTCTTGTCACCCAGCAAATGTCTCTACGCTTAATACTAGAAACAAATAAGCTGTACCATTTGCTAGGCTCCACAAAATTAGTAATTTGTTTAAAGGTCTTTATGTACGTTTCTACAACAAAGTCTCTAGCAATATCCAACAATTGAGCGTCGATAAATTTAAAGCTACTATTAAAAAAGTTTTTATGAATAAAGCGTATATAAAGGGTGTCTGATTATATTTTAGAGGGTATTTCTATAAATAAAACTAGTTTTTACGGGTTAATGCACGAAAACTTTATTTAGTCAGAATAAAACTTTTATTTAATTTGTCGAGCTACCTTCGAAAGACTTTTATTGAGCGTTTGGTTATTTCATTGTTCGATTTTTAAGTTTTATTGTCTATGTATGAATTTATTATTTAATTTACTTAATAAAGTATTTTATTTAAAATTCTTGTTTGTAATTTTGAGTTTATTTATTTGACCCTAACTACCGTAAACTACCACCGGTTCCAAAATTGGGAGACCTTCCTGAGAAGAACCGGCGAAACAAACTCAAGAGAGGCTTTCTATCCCCTTCTTATGTTAAATTATGCAAACAAAAAGAACTAATAGTATCTGATGGTCTTGCAGTGTGTGCTCGGGGTTGGGATTTTATCTCCTGTATAATAGGTTCCCAAGCTGGTGGTATATACCAACCATCTTCCCTATTGAAATTTGGATATTTTTTAATCTCAATAGCCTCGCGCATCATTCTAGGAACGAACCGCCGCTCAGCTGCAAGGATCTGTGGTCTATCAAATCTAATGTAGTGGTTTGGTCCCCCTAATGCATGTTCACACACTGCAGATTTATTTTCACGCCTAAAGGCTACGAAACGTCAATAAATAAATAAAGTTTTCGTGCATTAACCCGTAAAAACTAGTTTTGTTTAATGAGTGATGTGCGTGAAAACCTAAGAAACAAAAATGGGTATTTCTATAATTATGATAAAGATGTAATTGTAACAATATAATATTTTGTAATTATTGTTACATGATTTGAAGCTGTGAAGTTTATTCGTCCGTTTTACTCCACAGCAAAAAAAAATGACCTTAACGGGTGGCAGGGAAAAAAATATGGACGATTCAAAAGACTTGTACTGTACACATAATGTTTTATTTATTCATTACTAGCAAACCCGGCGAACTCCGTTTCGCCACCAGATAGATGGCTTCGTTTTATGTAACATTTCGTTTGGTGATTAAAAGAAGTTTTTTTTTAAATTTTTCCTGAATTTTCTTTGCTATAAACCTCACGGAGCCCGAGACCTTTCCGACGAATGCAAAACCGTGGAAATCGGTTCGTGCGTTCTGGAGTTATAGCGTCAGGAAGGAAAACCCGACTTATTTTTATATAGTAGATTATTATTATTATTTATTAGATACTACTTAAGCTTACATACTTTTCACGCAAACGTAACAATAAATTATCATGTATCGCATATTTTTTTATTGTAATAAAATCAGTGCGAATGGCGCAATCGTCAGTAGATCAATATCGTATCAATTTAATTGTCATAGTTTTAATCAACATCATACTAAGTTTTGGGAACATCCTAAGTTGATCTTGGTTTTGTTTGTATAAAGACGGTTTATATTTTTGTTACTAAAGATTTTTCTATGTAACTAGGTGTGCCCCGCGGTGTTACCCGCGGTTTATTAGGGCTATTTTCCCGCAGTAAAACTTAGCCTATGTGTTAATCCAGGGTGTCAGCTAACTCCATACCAAATTTTATTAAAATTGCTCCAGCCGTTTAGACGTGAAGAAGTAACAAACATACACACTCACAAACTTTCGCCTTTATAATATTAGTGTGATTTCTTCTATGAGAAATCACAGAAATTCATCTTGAAATATCACAAGACATTTTGAAATGTATCTCGCAAGCATAAAGAATATCACCTTCTATTGATTTGAATTCCTCAGCCGGGTCCAGCACATGCACGCCAGTGAACACCGGCCCTGTCTGCACCAACATCAGACTCCTCATCACGGCATACACATGGTCGTTGACAGGGGATGCCAGATTTGCACCTTTAAAAAGATTTAAAAAGCATGTAATTTAGTAAGCCGCACAGGGTGTAGGATGTTTTGATCAAAATTCGAGAATACTCTTATTTATATACATATATATCTATCTATATATGTATAAATATATATATATATATTAAATTTATGGCAACAACTTTACTAGTTGCTTCTTCTGTTCAATAAAAGTTTTGATAAATAATTAAATGTTCTTCAGTACAGTTCGCGGCGTCTTCGTCGTATGTAATTGTTTTCAGTACGTAACTCTAGCGCTAAAAAAAACGCGGAGGGGATAGCTGCGCATGGGTACGACTGGAGACCCAATCGACGCAACGCACGCCCACCCGCGCACCTCGTTTCCCCCCAACACATCTTAATTTTTACTTCTGCGCAATAACGGTCACCGCTAGAGTTTGTGCCGCGACTTATAACTATTAATAGGAGATTGCTCAGCTTCCATACATGTTTGGCCTAAAGACCAATAATCATGAAAAATTGTTTTCTAGATTCGAAATTATACAGGGTGAAATTGAATGTTTTAATGAAACTTCGTGGGAATGTTGGGTAGATACTCTATATATGTAATATAGAGTATCTCTGAATTTTTTCGGATTTTTTAAAAAATGATTTAAAATAAAATTTTGTTTTTTTTTTGTTATATTTTAAGTCCTTTCCTCCTTTTGGGTACTAAATAATTATTCTTTTAAAACATGCATACAGAGTAAGTAAAAAACAAGTAATAAGCACTACTAAAAAAGACGTATAAACAGGAGACGGGCGGCCGGGAGCAATGACCGCTCCCGCCGTTGAATACCTTCCTGCCTACCTATCTAGGTATGCGCGGTGCACAGCGCAGTGAGCGAGCGGAGTCTCAAGCGCGCGTGCGTATCTTTTAAATTTGTGACAAGACAAGATTTGCAAATAATGCCTTGATTAGTTCTAGGTTCTGTGCCCTCAATATAAGAATTTGGATATGGTGTGTTGTTATTGCGAGTGTCACGGAATACTCAGCAGCGCCACAAGGCTTTACGAAAGTAGGTTGGGTGATTTATTGGGAAGTTATAGAGAAAAAAATTAATAGGTACATCGGTCTCGTAAGTACTTTTGAATACCTGGTAATAAATTTCATTCTGACCCAACTATTGAACTGCAATAAGTATTTCTTTTTGTTTAACTTTTGCCTATTTCCAATCGTGACAAAATTATTATTAACTTTTTAAGTTTTTCTCTGCTTAAGAGAAGATGACATTTGTGCTTATTATTTCAATTTCAATAAAGGCATCTGAGACGATTTTATTGTATTATGTGGAATCAAACGAGTCAGCTGAGCTCTGTGTACCTACGTACCTACCTACTCACTCAACGGCTGGCGGGCGCGGTCGGTCGTTGACCCGCGGTGGAATTATACTGTTTTTCCGTTTTTTAGAAGTGCTTATTTATTAGTTGTTTTTCACTGGATATGTAAGCATGTTTGTTTAATATGAATAACTACTCAAAAGTAGGAAAGGACAAAAAAATACACAAATTATAAATAAATACATGAAAAAAAATACTTCAAAAAAATCCGAAAAAATCAGGCATACTCTATACTCGTAACCCAACAATCTCACGAAGTTTCATTAAAACATTCAATTTCACCCTATATATAAATTACTGTAGAAACGAATATTATTGACGGACACCCCTGAGAACTTCTATAAACCATAAACACTGAACATATTAAAATAATAAAAAAACAAATAAGTTATATAGTAAACTAGGGAAATCAAGCCAAGTACCGAAATTATGGATTAGATTCAGGTATATAGAGCATGTAAATTAATGCCTGTTTTTAAAGTTAATGCATAAGAGTAACTTTTAAAATCAGGTGTCATCTATGCATTTCCGGTTATAATAAGATACTCTGTGACAGAAACTGTGTAATGGATTGTGAATGAGCCACAGATTAGAGAGAATTTTTAAACTCTTGTTAACCAAAGAAAGCTAAGAGATTTAGGTTATATAGCCATATATTCAGTAGCTTCATTATTTTTGTTATGTTTTAATATAACCATATTTTAGATTTTTAGTGTATCCCACCTTATAATTTAATTTATTTATTAATTTATAGTCAGGCAACGTAGGCCCATAGATAGATACCTTAAAGTCTAACATATATACAGATTATAATGTGTTTATGGAGGTGTTTGGTGAAAAATGTGTGGCAATACACTTTATGATGTCGCCGACCACCTATAATAATTGTCTGAGCACATTTGCAAGTAGTGAAAATGATAATATAGTTGTGGATATTAATACCAGTGTTTTAAAAAAAAAATATCGATCTTTACAAAACAGATTTGTTTGTATGTTAAATAAACAACTTCGATCAGTCTTCGGCTGAATGTAACTAAACCCATAGCCATTAAAAATAATTCGTATGTTTTCCAAACCGGTAAAATTAAAAGTCCTTTTTAAAGTAAATATATTATACAAAGGTGTCCGTTGAAATCTAATGACTGTAAACTAAATTATAAATTACGCCAAGAATTACCGTGTATGTCAATATTTTTTGTGCTAATGGGCCAATTTGAGCAATCTCCTTTCATCGACACTTAATGTTCACATAGCAAAAGTGTTAGAGATAAAGTAGGTACTTGCGCAATTGACGGTTACTACTATTTTAAAAGTTGCAAAATCTGTAATTATTCTATACTAGCAAACCAGTGAACCAAATGTTCACCAAAACCTGATTTCTCGAAAACCGGAAGTGCTACGTTACCCAAATCCGATTTGTAGTCTTATCAGACTATTCTTAACTTATAACTTAAATATTCTCTTTATCTATCTCTTACGGTTTGGCCGCTGAAACAGCACCACAGACAGACGGACGGACTTGTCTAATAGATAAGAGATATTCATAAAACTTTACTTTACTTATATCATAGACTAGGAATAACAGTAAATAGCCAATATGGAAAAAATACTCTACTTGGGGCAAAATGGAATGTATTTCGATTAACAAATTTTTGGTTGCATAAAATTAGGATCAAATAATTTTATGCTATCAAAAATGTTAAGGCACACATATTAAGGTTATCATAATTACCTTCGAAATAGCATTTGAGCTTTGCTTCATTCCAGTTGGTGGGCACCTTGTGAACTTTGAACCAGCCTCCAGCTTCTGGGTAGTATGTGTAGTCCGGACGGAATTCACTGTGGACTAATCAAATTAACACTGCATTATATTATAATATATTAATAGCACTGCATAAGTGAGCAACAATCAAAGCTTGCTAAAGAAACAGCTTTACCTACAAAGTATCATATCAATAAGGTAAATTTGAAGCACGTAAGAACTGAGGACCCAGAAACTGATTGGATTTTCTTTATTTGTAGTTACTCTAGAAATACTGTACGTGGTGCTACAAATTACCTTCATGAAAATTGTTTAAATTGCTGAGATACAGTTATATAATATAGGTAGTACTTTTGCCTTTGTTAGAAGATCCATAAGGCACTTCAACTTGAGATGGAATACGAAAGAGATCAAATCGTGCCTGTCCTGCAAGGAGTTGAGCTGTTATTTCAGGCCACTTTGGGTTGATAGTGATGGTAATGAAGAGGTCAGGGCGACCAAACTTTCGCACGTAACAAAATGCAGCTTGGGTCCTCCTCTCGTGCATGTACCGCGACCCACCTGTGAAGGTGGAGGGGAGAATGACCATCCTTCATACATCTTGAGCATTTGCATCATTCTGCATGGCATCTCTGAGGTGGACGTAGTTCTCAGCTCTCAGCTTTCTTTGGTTGGACCTTATAAATACCAAACGTTCTGTCTCAATTTTGGCGTACATGTCCACCAGAAACTGACTAAAGAGCGTACGGCCGGATCAAGAAGCTGTAGAACTGCATGGCAGACGTTTTTTTGTTATAATTTAGGGAGCCTGTCTGGGAGTCTACATTATAGTGGGCGAAATGGTAGCCATCCTCTCCGCGACTGAGAATCATATGCGCGGTGAGTCTCGCTGATCCTCTGAAGCCGGCCATCATGCGTGCGCAAAACGATGTCTCTTTTATCACACTCCTGATCAACTAAGAGAACGGCTGCCTCATTCGTCGTTGGCGCATTATATCGCCGAGGATGGGCTGCAATCGGCCTTCTATTTGCGCTGATGACAAACTTAAAGCGGTTGCGTTCGTTCACAGGCACCGACGCCAGGGCTTTGAAGTTGCCAATGTGCGGATTAACGTTTTGCCAGATACTTTGCAATCCTCTGACCAGACCAGGGTCCAAATTGGAGATGTGTCTACTCCGCAGGTTTGCTTGTTCTTCAAAATCGCTTACAAAATAAATTTGAAAAAATTTAGGAATGTCTGTAGGTAGCCGCGAACCGATTTGATGGTAAACTTGCCCATGAACCTTGAATGTCGGCATGAACCCTGCTTCAACGATTTGATTTGCACCAAACGAAGTCATCTGGAAGGCGCTATTATAAGCTTGGATGTTATTCAAAAAATGCCTGGACTTCGGATGCTCGCCATTTAGTAAGACTTCTAACAGATCTGGTGGGTCTTGCGTCTATTATGGTTATCCGCCTAAGTTACTTATAGTGTGAAGCTAGCTTATAGCATGGTTAACATAATAACAACATTCAAATAGGCGTCGTTAGATTACACGTTGTTACATAATTCTTTAAAGAAATAAAGGTTCACTGCTCGTTCCCCTTAGGTGATAGCGTGATAATATGTGGCCTATATGTTGACCCGACTTCTTAATAATATTCGTGCCAAATTTGAAGTAAATACATGCAGTACTTTTTGAGTTTATCCCGGACATACATACAGACAAACAGACAAAAATTCTAAAAACTATATTTTTGGCTTCGGTATCGATTGTAGATCACACCCCAAGTAGACTTTTAAAAAAATAATCAATGTACAGTTTTGATTTGCCTACCCATCCTACCATTTTATTGTATGTATAGATTTGAATCAGATTTTTTTTCTACATCGTTCTGTTTATATTTCGTAAAGATTTGAGTACTTTTTGGCGCTTAAGCAACTCAAGTTTTTGAAACTTTTTTTTGTTCACAACGCTGAAGAGACATAAATTTTGGTGTTTTTGGACCAGTGGCGCTTACGCCCTACCATTTGGCATATGATATGATGTTTGCTAATAGCAAAAAGTATATGGCGGGACGAGTGATTTTCGACATCTAATTCGTAGAGTAAAGGCACTAGGTATGTAGATTTTTAATGGGAGGATATTTAGAAAATATAATTTTATGAATATGTTTTTATTTTTATGGTGCTTCTTCTCATTAACGTTGTTTTTTATTGTGAAAAAAAAGACTGATCCTCGTTTCCGTAAAGTTACTGAAGTGGCGTTTAAGCGTTTTTGCGTTTCCATTGTTGATATTGTTTGTGTATTTATGAAAATAAGTAGTTACTCACCTAAAATTTTATTTTGGGTGGCGGCCATCCACACGTTGTATATGAGGAGAACATTTCCAATGGACAGGTGTCCCATTTTGTGCCAATTTTCTTTACGTAGCTGTAGTTCCCAGTTGCCCATATGTTTGTACAGGTTCCGAGTTTTGACTTTGCCGCACAAAACAGCAATTTATCATTTGCTTTTAAAAACCTAGGAAAATCTTTATGGTTATACACTAACTTTAAAGATTTTTTATATTATATTTAAAGTATTTAACTACTAGATTTAATTTACCTAAACTGCTACTGAAACTGCAGATAAACTTTTATATGTTAATTGTAATTTCTTATCTTGTTTCTATATTTAATTGCATTTGTTACGATCACACACAGCGGTTGTAAACAGGAAACTGATTGGTCACTAATTTACCTTATTCATCAACAATAATGCTAAAATCCTCTCCGCCTAGGGTTACCATATCAGGAGATCTAAGGTTTTTTGGATTTTTATCAAGATTGTGGCCGGATTTTAGAAATCTCCTGATTTTGGAATCTTCAATAAAATATAGATTTTTTAATATTTTCATACAGTGGGGAGCTTTGCTTGGAATGGTCGTTTGAATGATCTACATTTTTTGGTAATATTTGCCTTGGGATAAGTAAATATTCATTTGGGTTGAATTAAGAAAAAATATTAAAATAATGTAACTAGTTTGGGATGAGTAAGGAAATGGGATGAGACGGAGGATGAATGCGGAACAACCCACCACTGCCACTCGTACCAAGCAAATTGCTAAGCGTAAATGTGATATTCGAGATTGCGGTGTACCAAATCGAAAAAAAAATTACTAACTTTACGTGGACCACACATCATGTCTGATGCCTGCCATCTATTGCAAGTAAATTATGATAAAGAGAAAATTTTCAAATTGCCTTAAAATCTCAGGTTTTTTTAAAGGAAATCAGAATTTTTCTCCGGGCTTATGGTTTTATTATCTGGTAACCCTGTCTCCGCCACTTTTAAACTTATCCACAGCGTCTGCAACTTGCTTCAAAGAGACTCGCTTGTGTTTCTGATTATAACGACCTTGAGTATTATTTGAAACCAGTTCATGTACGGTGGCGGTCAGAAAATGTTTACCAGTTTTATGTCACACTTTTTCACTAAAGTCTAAAATGCCATATCAAGTAACTTATCACCTTTCAAAGTTATTATGCAATATGACGCATCGAGAATAACAAAAAAAAAATATATATTACCTTTTGATATTGAAACTCATTTGTTGAAATGATATTTATAAAAAAAAGATTGTTTGAACATTGTTTGGACAAGAGCAAAATTTTCGAAAAATGTATTTACACCGAAATAAAATGACAAGTTTGACCCTGGAGCAAAGGGCTGAAATAATATTTCTCATCGAAGATGGACAAGCATTAGTGATATATCACGGGAACTCAATATATCGCGATTAACTAGGAGGTTTTGGATCCGGCGAGGCGTCACGGTGAAGAAGGGCACTTAACAGATCATAGAAATAATTCAGGACGACGACGACCAATTCTAATCGCCGCGCAAATAACAGAAATGATTCATCGTTATGAATAGAACGGTTTCACACCAACTAGTTATTTTGCTGCTTTATATGATGTGAGTGCTCGGACGATCCGCCGAGCTTTGCACAGCACTACAGACACCATGCTATTAAAACGGAGCTGAAACCTCACCACAAAACAGCCTGGCCTATCTTTGCGCGACAACATCATGATTTTGCTTGGTCGAATACTATATTTACCGATTAGAAAACCTTTAAATCAAGCCAAATCGGAAGATTAACTTTATGGCGCTATAATCGAACTCGGTATGATGAACCTCATATCGTGCCTCAAAAGTCAGGTCGCATAACAGTAAACTTATGGGGGTGGATGAGCCTCGACGGTGTCGGAGAACTGCGTCGTTAGAGAATAGGGCTACTGCCATTAATTATGTGTCGCTTTTGGCTAGGGCTGCCATCTCTAAAATGTGGCAACCAGGATAAGACGCGTGATAACCCCGGATTTTGAAGCCCAGAACCCGGACAGACTAATAAAAAAACAGTTATAAAAATGTCACAATTCAACTTTTTTATGTTGATCTAGGCAAAAGAGCTAGCGGTCTACCTCATAATAAGTGGTCACTGCTGCCCATGGACACTTGCAGCACCAAGGGCCACTCATGCGTTGCCGTAAATTTTTAAACCCGGACTACAAATAAAACCCCGCCCGGACGCTCCCCGGACGCCCCGTAAACTAGGACAAATCCGAGGAAACCCGGACGGATGGCAGCCCTACTTTTGGCAGAAGTGATGCTGCCTACTGTGCGCGTAGTGTATCTTGCAACAGGATTCCCGCCCATTACTTATGTTCAAGATAATGCACGGATACACACGGCCCGTGCTGCTATGGTGTGGCCTGTGGTTCAACCTGCACCGTGACATTCGTCCCATTCAATGGCCCGCTCGGTCTGCTGATTTAAACCCTATTGAAAATTTATGGGGGCTTATGGTTCAATGCTGGGACTGTCAAAATGAAAGGAACCCTCTTGATCTTAGATCACACTGTGCTCGAGTATGGGATGATATTAGAGGGACCGATCTATGCGCGCATCTTATTGTATCAATGCGAGATAAACTACGTGCCGTCATATCTGCAAAGTGAAGTTATACTAGATATTAAATAAAGATTTTTGAAGTTTCTATTTTACTATTTCTTCATATTGTTAGTTAAAAAACTAAGATATTAGTTTTTTCAATGGTTTTCTATATTTGTTTGACGTCACGGCTAGTGTAGAGGTCGGCGCCTACTGCGCAACGGGTCGCGGGTTCGATTCCCGTACGGCACAGATATTTTGTATGGCCTACAGAAATTTGTCCTGGTCTAGGCGTATGTGCAATGTGCATGTGAGATTATATGTTTGTAATTACATCTACGATACAGAAGGAAATCCTAGTGTAAGGTGAAGTATTTAAAAAAATATATGTTATCAAACCTTGATAGTAGTCAGTCCATCGCCTAGAGCGATTGATTGTCATATCATTACAAAAAAGATAATTTAAGGTCAATCAAATTATTATGAAATAGACATTTAGAACTTGTGACCCAAATGTGTGCATGCAATTATGATCCTTAAGGTGGTAAACATTTTCTGACCGCGACCGTATTTAGTTTGAGATAGATATAGTCCAAAGAGCAAATGATGTTTTCGATAACCAGCGTTTTTATTTGTCACATTTCCTCTTGTTTATAAACACACAATAGGTTTTACTAGTTCAAACAATAACATACGTTTTCATAACCGAGACATTTGGTAAGGTTTTTTCCAATGACCGACCACTGCGAAAGTTGCTAAATTTCAACGATCGCAGCCGAACGCGCTAACCACTTGCGCCATCGAGCTCCTCCGTCGTTAAAAAAGCGAGCGCGTCGGGGGTTAGAAAATGGCAACTTATCTACGGCACCTGGTGAGGGAGCCGCAATCCTCAACACCTGTTGAAAGTGAATAATAATAATAATAATAAACGTAGAACTCCTTTTTATTATCGACAATCTAAAAGTGACGCTTAATGAGACTCTAATTCTTTCGATTATGGATGGGTATTTCGCAGACAAACGGAAGATAATCGTTGCAAGGCCAGTCGTTGAAGCCCTCGTTGTTTCTGAGGAGCGAACCACAGTTCTCGGTGCCTGCCAAGTTGTTGGGCTCGTTCTGTGCCCACCGATCGTAAACGGCAACCTCGAGGCGCTTGCCTGGAAACAAAAATCATTTAAATCAAAATATTGTCACATACGCTCTCGAAACGGAACCGCGAAAGTGCTACAGATCGAATGTGCCAGAGCAACGCGGGTCGCGGTAGAAGTCGAGTAATGCGACTCATTCTAAAATGAGCCTTATGCTGTGCTAACTCACACAAAGGTTTTAATCCAGCAATTTTACGGTTTAGATGTTTACAAAAGGAGAATGGTCATTTTACTTTGGGAGTTGGGCTAAGTTTTTTTCATTGCGTCTTATTGGAATAAGTGTACAACAATAGGGAATCAGGTGTATATTGCGTAGGAAAAATATCATTAGAAACTTAAGTAGTGGTTTAAGGAAAATATTAAATTACGTAAGCATTTTAAGGTTATGTCATATTTAGATTCGATTAAATTCGATATTTATACCATACTTATTATTACTAGGTATACTACTTTAAACTGTATTTAATTAGGTTGTGACCTTTTGTCTTCTATTTTGGACTGGGAGTGAAACAAAAATTGAATGCACTTCGTAAAATCTTATCAACGGGCAGCGTATATTTGTAAACTGTTGCGTTGGTGAGCTGCTATCTATCTCTATTTATTCCAAACATCTCAGATTCAATAAATGTGGCGTTGTTGAGGTGCGGTTATATTAGTGCTATTTATACTTATTCTCTTTACGCTCAAGCTGCACCTTTGATGCTCTGTTAACCCAACAATGGATATAATATTATTTAAGGTTTAGGAATCAAAAATAAATAAGACAAAATATTTTAATAATGATAATCATTTATTGATAACACATTTATCCAAATCGACATTATTAATGTGATATTTTTATTTTATATTTTTGGGGTTATGCCGTATCCAGTGGAACTGTAGTGACTTCGCCTAAAATATCTTTTGTAACTCGCCACCATGTCCTGTTGAGTTTGAAATAACCAGTTAAAGCTCTGCTAAGTTCAATTAACACAGCAGTTTATACATTAAGCGTGCTCTAATCCTGGTTTATATATTGCTTAACTAAATTATCAGATTTTTGTAAACTATATGATTCTTTTTGAAAACGATAATTGCTGCTGCTGTGGATAAATATATAAGTTGCGTCACACATAACAATAGCGGGTTTAATATCATTTGGTAAGATTGGATTACCAAACAATCCCTCCGGGATTACTTATTTCTGCTGGCCACTTGCTCCACATTTACAAAGTTACATGACCAAAGCCCAAATGTCTTGACACAAAATCTTCAACTAAACAACTTCTAGCTATATTCATTTTTCTCTCCAAGGTCCTACGAGACATTTGAAAGAGGGAACTTAATCGTTCATTGCTGTCCCCAGTTCTTAACTTGACTATGTAAATACAGAGTGCTAAACGGGGATTTTTGACACTCTGTAATAAGCTTGGTACACATGCCAAGAGTTCATCAAACTGTTCAGCATTCATTCCCAGCCAATAATGGCATAAGAAAGGAGCCATTGCAGAAATATTTTCAAAGTCGAAACAATGGGAAACTGCTCTCTGCATTATATTCAAAATGGCATCAAACTGTACACCAGTAAAATCTTGCAGATTTGATGTTAAATCACTCCAACGCCCATTATTCAAGTGATGTTGACATATTCTACAACATGTGGGAACATAGAATTTATTATGTATTAATAACATTTCTCTTATTACTCTGGGTACTAATAAACATTGTTGTTCCCGGCATCCTGAAAACAGACAACTCGATGAAGTGGCTACAGCACGCTTATATACTGATGACTGTATCTTAGGTATAACAGGTCTTGAGCGCTGAACAGGTAATAGACCAGCGGGAAATGGTGGTGGTACTGGGATCACTGGTACAGACTCTGTTGGTTCTACATCAATTTGTTCAATTGATGACCGATTCGCATCATGTAACTGTTGCCTTTGCACTTCCCTATTAGCTGCTTGCCAACAGGCAGCACAAACTCTTGAAATTCTTGACACCTATAAAAAAAAGATAAGTGAACTTGAATTTAATGAAAAACCATCTACAACTATTTTATGCAATAGAAATATATTTCTTATAATAATAATAATAAATCATTTATCTGACAAGATATGGTAAATTATACAGATCTCAAAAATATAACCAACATGACCTGTCACTTTTATCAACATGCAAATACTTATAGGTAGTTGCAGTATTATCCAGAACTCAATCTTTAAAAACTATATATATTATTTATATACCATAGTCATGATTGAGTTAGTTATTATATAATCAATTTCATTAATATACTACATGACAATTGTGCAATGTAAAAAAAAATGTCAGTCATGTTTCAGTTAGTATTGAAATCAATTTAAATAAATTATTATTAATATAACATTTCAATCATGCAATGCAATAATAATAATAATGTCACAGTCATGTTTTAATTAGCATTGAAATCAATTTTAATAATTTATTCTTGATAATAATATCTTATACCATACCTGATGTGCTGGAGTCCATTTAAGAATAATATTTCTTTCTGGACAGTGTAGTGAAACCCTGTACGATCGACTTCTTAATATGGATTTTCCACAACCAAAACAGACTTGTTGATAGCCATATTGTGGTGCAGGTACTTCTTCGGTGGTGTCACTAGCTTGTAGTAGCATAAAGCATTCGTTGCACACTATGCCCCCATTCAATATCTATAACAAGTCAAAAATATTTATATTTATTTGAACATGTGAATGAAATTAAAACATTATCTCACGGTTGCGATTGTATTACGATATATTTTTAGTAATATAAGTAAATAATTACTTACAGAATCAGGTGCGATCCATGAGCTTAAAACATTAAGCATTGAATTGGATAGCATGTCCAAAGAATGTACTGGCTGTCGTCGTGGCACTGATATACAACAGTTAATACAACGTCGTTGCATACTGCCTGCGTTTTCTTGTGTAACACCAGATGCCATTGTAAACAAAAATAATTACAATAAACTAAAAGTCCAAATATCTCTGTTAGAATCACTAAAGGTAACTTAACACTAAATCAACGAGTCCAATGCTCTCTTTCCCAAAAACAGTTATTAACGGAGGATTACTCAACTCAACATTAAAACTATTCTGCCATAATAGACCACTGAAAACACAAATTCAATTCAAAATTGAAAACTGCACCGGAACAAACAACAAACACGTTGACAACAAGTTGACAGCTACCTACTTCACTTGCCTATGGTATATATTTCGATTTGATTCTATAGGAATCGATTCCTACACAATCGATTAATAAATGTTTTATTTTTCAATGCAAATGCTTAAAATGTTCAAACCATGAGTTAATTTATATATGATTAAGTAATTATATATAACATAACTGATAATTTAAACAAAAATATATTCCCTTTTTTAATCTAAGATGTGAATATGTAGTACACATATAAAAGTTTTTGTATGCAATCTACTGTTTGATGAACAAAATAGTCCGCAGACAAAAAATCCTCTTTTGCGCAGCCCATTAAGTTCCTTTTAGTTTTTAGATGCAATGAAAGAGAGCAATCACTGGTAGGTACAGTGACATTGTCACAACACAGGTCTTACAAATGATAACTTTATGAATTTAATGTTATTTAGCATGATATAATATTGGTAAAAATGCTCGTATCCATCATACAAACATTTGCCTCACTGGAATTCGAAACCAGGCCCTCTGAATAGGCGATTTGGGGAAAATAATCTATCCATCGATCCATACAAAAATCAAACAACTCGCATCGAAGACCTCAAAATAAAAAATGACTACGAATTAACGAATGATCATTATTTCGTAGTCATTTACGGTGTTTGGTAAAAATGTTTCAGGCTATTTACAATTGTTCTATGCTTTCAATTATAATAAACGTTTTATTTTTTCTTTTTGAAGTGAAACTTCTTTACGCACTCTTGACTTGGGGAGTAAGCTAGCGAACGTAAGCGTTAAGAAAAGTGTGATCGGGCGAGGCGAACGGGAGTTGAGTGGGGGATGTAAGCATGAGAAAGCAGTGCGCGTGCACATTTTCTTTCTCTCTTCCTCTCATAGCCAAATACGTTCCGTATATCTAAGCACAGTGCAAGCCTTTTGTCTGTATCACAGTGTAGGAGCAAGAGCGCGCGCACGCATTTTCTTTCTCTTTTTCTCTTACAGCTAGTAAATGAAAGAAGTTTCACTTCAGTTGTGTAGTCAGAAGCACACTCGTTTTTTTATGTTAAGAATATTTAAATAAAGAAATATAATCGATTTTTTTTCCTACGATCGATATTATCGACCAAGTGATACAACTTTTATCTATGGTTATTGGTTATTTACTCAGTTTAATAGCCATTTATTTATTATTTTAAATATCCGCATAATACTTACATAATAAACACACATATGAAATGATAATTCAGAAGAAGATTTTTGATACATAAATGCGTCAAGCGCAATCTAGGCGGATTTGCCCATTCTCATTTCATAGAAAACCTATTATTAGCCATAGTATTAGAAAGTATGTAAAAAAAAAAATTTGTTACGCTGTTGGTTTTCTGAATAAATAAATAAAAATAAAAAAAAAGTCCTGAGATTTTTAGACTTTAACCAGGATTGGTAAACTCCGTCACCTATATACTGTCCACAGGGTCCGCGACTTGCCTCAGAGACTCGCTAATGTTTCTCATTATCACGATACTGAGTTTTATTTGATTCTAACAAAACCAGTGCATATATTTAGCTTAACGTAGGTATTTTCCAAAGAACGAATGACGTTTTTGATAACCTGCGCTTTTATTAGCGAATTCTTCATAATAGGGATGATGACTATTTTTTTTTCTTCGTTTATCAGGTAGATTATCAAAAAGTATTAGACACGTATTTTTTCTTTTTTCACTTAATATAAACATTGCAGAGATATATTGATGTGAAAAGTCGCATGACGTCACGTTTTGGTACAATTTTCACTTAAAATTGACGTCACTTTGACGCGCTATAACTTTGTCATTTTTTGGTTGATTGCCCAAAGAAAAAATACGTGTCCATTATTTTTTGATCATCTAACTGACGGACTAAATAGAATTTCGTTTACTGTACCCCGTCATCACCCCTATTATAAACAGACAATAGGAATGAATACTTCAAACAATAACATAGATTTCCATAATCAAGACATTTGTTAAGATTTTTTAACTAGATTACTTTATTACCTATGCCGTAGTGGGTATGTTCACATGATGTGAAGCTAATATGAAAAGAAAAAAAACAAAATATAAAGAAGAAGTAAACAAAGATTTCAAGTTTAAAGTAATATTATATTTGGTTTCAATTATCAATTCTCCCGAACACATTTTTGGGATCTGAGATTTCGCATATGAAGGGCACTCGTTCTTCGCACTGTATGTCGAAAAGGCCGGAGTTGTCTCGTCGGAAAGCTCCGCACTTTTCCGACAAAATGTTGGGTTCGCCGCTCGCCCAACGATGGTAACCAGAATCCTCGATGCGTTGACCTGCAACGGTTTTCCAACGTGTTTATCTGCATAGCCAAACCCACCGAGACTAAAAAGCGTAAGAAACAAAGTTGAGAAGTTTAAAGACGCAGTAGTCAGAGGGCCCACAACCTTAGATTAAAACAAAAAGGATACGGCACTAGCCTCACAAAAGTGATCCGCATAAATTGTGGTCCACGACCCTAATCGCTTTAGTCACAACTCGACATGCAAACGACGTACATGTGAACGTCAAAAAGAAATATTGCTTATATTTTGTGTTTTTAAGATAAAACAATGCCTAAGTATGTTTTTAAAAAGTGCTGAAATTGCTCAAGAACTAAAAATAAAACCCACGGCATCACTTTTCATTCGTAAGTACTAAAAAATATACTTTTTCATAAAAATTGCTGTTTGTTTTGAATCTTATTCGGTAGTGACGTCGAGTACTGGTCGCGTGATTGGTCGGTAGTGCAGTGACGTGGATCTCGCCGTCTCGTTCGCGCTGCCGTTGAAACTTAACGTGCCGTTTCGTTCGGGTCGGTAATGCAGTGACGCGGATCTCGCCTTCCCGTTCGCGCTGCCGTGGGATCAGTTTTTGTTTGATGCAAGTATGTGCGTACCGTATCTACCCTTTTTGTTTTAATCTAAGCCCACAACCCGGGTTGTCTTGAATTTATTATAATTGCCAGAGATTCGGTTCCGGTTCTTATTCTAACATAGAAAGTGACGTACCGTCAACTGTGAACCAGAAGGAGCGTTCGACGTCGATGTTGTGAATGCCGACGAGGAAAAAAGTCGATCCAAAGTTCACGGAGTTAGGGTTACAGTTGATAGGCCTCTTCGCGTACCTGATACAAAATTATTACGAAGTCTATAAATAAAGCAAGTTTCAACGGTATAGATGCACTGATTTATTGATGTTATACTTCTTTAGGCGCGTTATGAAAAAATGATGAGAGTGAAATTTTAAGATACGCGCGCATCACTGTAACATAAAAGTAACAGCATGAAGTTGGTCGCTAAGGCGCGCATGTTGTCACGCTCGTCGCCTCTGATCACTGTTTTCATATTTATAATATCTATCCACATGTTTCTAGTTTCTATATTCACAACATGTGTTTTAGTTTCATACAAGTGCGAATGATATAATATATGTGCAAATAAATTATATTCAGTAGTGATTTAAATTGAATATTTTGATTATTTATTTAATTTTTCAAATTAAAACTGAACTTTATTGACTGTGTTGACTATCCTTTTCCAGTCCTTTTATTATTTTATGGTAATTAATTATTTGCATGCAATTAAAAACTATTTTTAATGATGCCAAAGAAGTATAACTTCTCGCGCGCGTACTTAAAGTACACGCACCCATATTTTTTTATTTATGACTTACTTGTTTTATTTAATGAGTGATGTGCGTGAAAACCTAAGAAACAAATGAGTTCATATAAGTATGTTCAATTGCTATTTTCAGCATTAAAATGCTAGATTTATAAATCTAAAGAAAAATTTACTAGAAAAAAAAACGTTTGCGTCTCGGAAAGAAGTGAAAACTAAAACTATCCTTATTTTTTGAGCACAGGAGATTGGTAAGAGTAAAGGGGATTCGAGAGTGAAATGGGATGTGAGAGTGAAAAGGGGATTCGAGGGTGAAAAGGCGATTCGAGGGTGATAATAAGGGATTGGTGGGTGTAGGGATGTCGAAAGTTGAAAAAAATTTCAATATCGGCTCTCGATATATCGCGAAAAAAATCGATATATCGGACCAATTTTCCCAAAATATTTAGGTCAGCTTCTCACAGTAATAATGACAATACAAATTAAATAAAGAAAAAATTATCAAACTACCAAATTGCCGCTACACTACATGACAGTACAGTATCTCACGAAAGATAACACGCGGAATAATAATGGAACGAATATTACCCTAAAAACAGATCCTATTTTCGAATGATGAAAATGATTGCAGGGCCTCTCAGGTGCCGTCTTTCGTAAACAAGACTAGACAGTCACACACTTTCACAGAATATAATGGAATTCAGCACAACCAATTCACTAGTGAAACAGATTTACAAATCATAGACAATACTTAATACAGTACAGATTATAGATATGTTGAATATCATTAATCTGAGATCCAGTTACGATTTTTCCAGATACGAATTTAGATAGATCGTGATATGCCGATAATAATTAAAAAAATATCGTTTTTGATACGAATTTCGATATTGGTTATTTTATATCGATGTATCGATATATCTAATCAAAATATATCGGCTAAAAATATCGATATATCGATACATCGATATATTTTCAACAAGCCTAGGTGGGTGGTAGTTGGGATTGTTGGGTGATAATAGGGGATTGGTGTGTGATAGTCGCGGCGAAGCGAAGCCAGACAGACTGGCGCCGTAACGCGTTACGTAACGAAGCAGTTTACTCTCACATAAGAAGTTATCACTTCAAAAAATCCTATTGGCCCAGGCATCTGATAGGATTTGATCCTGCATCTTCCGTCCGGATAGCGGAAAGTAAAAAACACATTGTTAGTTATGAAAACGGAAGACAGAGATGCCAATCTTAGTATCCTGCCACACCTCAAAACTATGCGCAGCAGCAAACATCGAAACCTACAAGATTGCTTTACAATACCTTTAGTAGGATCTTTAATTACAAACACGTCTAGATATTGCAATCCAAATAAACTACGCAAACAAAACGGCTCGCTCATGTTACGCGCAATATGTTTTAACTATAATGCGATTCAAATAAGAATAGGAAAGCCAATGACCTCTATCTGTCAAATGTCGCTTGAAAAGTACGGTTTGCAAAAACAAACTTGGAACCCTTTTTTAGCACTCCGCTAATTCAAGAATAAAAACCAAACATTCGTAAACAAACAATAACAAATATTGATAATTAATATCGGTTGATATTTTTTTTTCACTTATTGAGCTTTGGTCATGAATGGTTGATAACCTAAATCGTCAACCAAATGTCACTTTAAGTTGCATTCAGAAACTCGATTTCAAACTTTCATAACGCTTTTACTGGTAAAAATCTGCTTTAAGCAAAATATAGTAATTTCGCCTACTAGATATATTTTAGAAATATAGCATTTGATCCCCTAATATAGTAGGATATTATATTATATAGTAGGGTTGGCAACCCTACTGGGCGCGTATATAAAAAATGCACGTCGATACCTAAAGGTTAATACCAAAATCCGTATCAAAGTGTGACAGTATGATCACCTATCAACAATAAGTTTCGCTTCCCGCTCGCTGTTCAGTATGAGGAGGTGTGCGCCCTCCGCTGCGCAGATCATGTTGGCGCGGTGCCACTTCACGCAGTCATGGTGATACTTGTAGCAACTGTTCGATACGGGATCCCATTCATACCCTGTCAATAATCAAACACAACTAAAAACACCCGTATAAGTCGCGGCATGATACTGTAGCGTTGACTGTTATTGCGCTGAAGTAAAAATTAAGATGTCTTGGGGGGAAACGAGGTGCGCGGGTGGGCGTGCGATGCGCCAATGAGGGCTATCGCGTATGAATCCGCCGCTAGAGGCGCTAGTGTAGCGTGAGGTCTCCGAAATGTCAAATGTTATAGCTTGCGGGTTGACTACGCGGTTTTTTTCTAATTAAAATAATAGTTGTGAATATTTGGTAATAAATCAGACTTATTATGGCAAATATGAGTTACGCGTCAATGATTGTCAGTTATTTAAAAGCGGAGCTAAGAAAAAATATTGTCCTTCTTTTTTCCGATCAAAATGGGACTGCGCAACACTGTGGCATGGGCGATTATGTTTAAGATATGATTCTTTTGTATTAAAATGTAAACTTTGATATCACGAGCGTGTTTACTAACTTTAAAAGTTACACTTCAGGACCTCACTTAACAGACAAAAAACGATAGCCCTCATTGTCTCTCCAGTCGTACCCATGCGCAGCTATCCCTGACGCGTTTTGCTCAGCGAGTTTCGTGCCGCGTCCTGTACCTAGGTATATAATACATTTAACTCCTTTGATATTTGTTTGGGTAAGTAAGTACACGATAAGTACCGATTCCTTAAGAATCCAACCCCTGCTCAATGTGTCATAAAATAAAGAATGACATTTATGCGCTGCCCACATAGAGAGCGTAGCGAAAAGATTTTTTTTTAGGAAAATCCTTATCTTTTGTACTAGGTTTGGATTTATAACATACTGGAAACTACAAAGTAAAACCAACTACGTCAGCAATGTGCACTTGGCAATAAAAAAGTAGTACTGGATTCGAGTTGACGAATCCAACAATACTTGTCATTGCCTAGTTAGGTATTTACCCTCTGCATATGATCCACACTCCTTGGACATTATTTCATTGCCAGTCTGTTTCCGATAGCATATGTAGGGGAGAACCTTATTGCTCTGCACGTCAGCGAAGGACCCGTCCGGGAGAATTGCCAAGCTGCGTTCTTCATTGTTCAAGTTATTGGGCTCCCCCTTCGCCCACTGGATAGGCATTCGTTGTAGCTGTACTCCTGCAAAATAGGACAGAAAGCATATTCAAAAGCTTAGCTAACATCTCAAATCTGTGATTCTAGCAAGGAAAGAAGAAGAAAAAGTTCATATATGGTTTGCGTAAGTACGATCACTTTTAGGGTTCCGTACTCGAAAGGAAAAGACGGAACCCTTAGGCTGCAGATAGACGACGCGAAAAAATTCTTGCGGCCACCGTACTGTCACCGCGCGGCCGCCACGCTGTGACATTCTGTGTCATATAAACGCGCCCTTATAGGATCATTTTGTTGTCCGTCCGTCCGTCTGTCAAGATCCTTTTTCTCAGGAACGCGTGGAGGTGTCAAACTGAATATTATATCAAATACTGTGGTCTACTGTCTCTTGGAGCTGTGAAAAACTAAACCTCTAAGCCATTGCAATCAAAAGATACAGCCGTTTATGCCGCAAATTTCCGCAAAATTTCGAAACTCGCAAAGGAATCAAAACCTATCATCGGGTACTTCCCGTGAACTCAGAATCTTGAAATTTGCCACCAAGCAACGGCTTATAGCACAGATAAAGGAAAAATTGACAAAAACCATAAATATACCTACAGGTTTGTACGGGACCTTCGGTTTTTTCTAACTACAGGCAATAATTTAAGTGGCTTCCCGTTCGTCGTCGCCGAGATCTACATATAATATCCCTACTTTTCTCAGCACTGTTCAATCCAAAGCTCCTGTTTACCCCTGTTTAGTTTCTTCCTCCCATAATCTTCCACTATGTTCATCTGACAATCTCCTCCTTTTCACATTTCCTAACTTTTCCAAGGCGTACAACCATTCTTTTACCGTACATGTTATCCAACTCTGGAATTCCCTGACAAAAAAGATTAGGCGTACCCAAAGTTTAGACTGTTTCAAGTCTCTAGTTAAAGAGCATTATTTGTTGCAGTAACCTAATTTTTAAATAAACCTTTTTGCATTAGAACTTATCGGTTTCAGTTGCTTTATATTATGAAAGGTGTGAGTATTTATTTATGTATGCTTATATAATCAGATTTCTTTTATTTCAATGTATTTTTCCTTTCATATTTTTACTAACATATAAAAAAAAACTTTTGCTTTATACTCGTATACCACCCAACCTAAGGGAGGTTTCTCTTTTTTCTCTTAACTTCCTATATTTCCAGCTCATTGGGTATAAGTCCACCCATGTGCAATCGTGTATTTTCTACTTTGTTTTCGTATTCTGCTTGTTTTGTTACTGTGTTGTGCAACAAAGAGTATATCTTATATATAAAATTCTCGTGTCACGGTGTGCGTAATTGAAGTACTCCGAAACGGCTCGACCAATTTTCGTGTAATATGCATATTCAGTAGGTTTGAGAATCGGACAACATCTATTTTTCATCCCCCTAAATGTTAAGGGTATGTTATGTTTTTACCCTTAACGTACTTTTTTGAACTTTTTTTTTTATTTTTTATGATACACCATACAAAAATACATACAACCCTAAAATTTCACCCTTCTACCACCAACCCCTATTTTATGGCGGTACGAAGTTCGTTTATGGCGGACAGCTAGTATCTTATGTTATCTCTACCTCGACATTAGTTTATATTGTACAACGATGCCTTGAACTTATCGAAAATATATGTCAGAGCCCCAAAGCTTGTATAGTAAGGTTCAGGTATTGATAAATTAAATAATCAGGGAAAAGCTAGCAAAAGGTTTTATCTATTACGTGGACTTACTCTTTAGGTGCCAAAGTGATGCCCCAAAGAGAAGATAGTAGAAATCGAGGTGATGTAGAATATAGTTCAGGAATATTTGTATATAGACCTACTTTCTCCCCGTTTCCCTTTTAAACAATTTTTCAACGCGTGACCTACTTCTAAAAGAATGTCACCTTCGATGGAAGTAAATTCTCCAACAGCATCCAACATGTGGACGCCAGTGAACGCAGGCCCGGACTGCACCAGCATCAAACTCCTCATTGCAGCGTACACTCTATCGTTGATAGGGGATGCCAGATTTGCACCTATCAAAAAGCATATAATAATAAAAGCAGAACATATTTCGAAACTTAGTCATATTGTATTTAGAAAGGCATTTGTATCTGATAACGTTTACAAAGAATATGGACTCTGTTAGTTCATAGATTATTTAGTTAGAATTACAACCATTGTCTAATAGATACGGACCTTCGAAATAGCATTTGAGTCTAGCTTCATTCCAGTCAGTCGGCACCTTATGGATCTTGAACCAGCCTCCTGCTTCTGGATAGTACGTATAGTCCGGGCGGAATGCACTGTGGACTAGTCAAATTAACATGTCAGTGATGAAAACTCGATATTTATTAATAAGCCCGATTGAATTAAAGCCTTTTTTAATTGTTATTAAATGTACACATCATCTACTTGTAGACTTTATGGAATTCAGTAATCGACCAAAATTATAGTGGTAAAAAAGGTAAATTTAAAAAATCAAAAAACCCGACTGCTTAATTATTCTTCAAATAAAAACTGAAAAGAAAAAAACAAGTCCAGTAGTCTATAATTCTGTTAATAAGGAACAAAGCTACTTTAACAGTCGGGACACATTAGATATTCAAGAATACATAATATTTTTCAACAGTGGGTCCCGACTGTTAAAGTAGCTTTGTTCCTTATTAACAGAATTATAGACTACTGGACTTGTTTTTTTCTTTTCAGTTTTTATTTGAAGAATAATTAAGCAGTCGGGTTTTTTGATTTTTTAAATTTACCTTTTTTATTTCACACTTTTTAGTTAGTATTTTTCGCCGGTATATACCGTAGTCTTGTTACTTCAGTAAGGGAGTTTAAGTCGTTACATAAATATCTCTAATGTATGTAAATTTTATAGTAAACTAGCACTTACTCAAAAAGTCATCTTTTGTTTATGTTTTTTTGAATAGTTTAGCAGTAAATATAAAATTCATTTACTTTTGTTCGTCGTCTATTTAAAATTGGCAGTGGCTGCATTGTCATGTCAATGCCGGACGTCTAAGATTGTGATATACACAAATTTAGTGTCAGTCCCTAGTCTCATAATTTGATATACCTACATAATTCACAGAAACCGAATATGTAGATGCCAGAAGTTAACTTCAAATGTTTTAAATCACCCTATATACAATACCAATCAATGACGTTTATGTCGCAGGTTGAAGAAAGAAGTAATTCCCGTCTGTTGTTTTGGACAATGGTGGCAACTGCCTTAGATCACTAAATTAAATAATTATACAATCACCAAAGCAAAGTTTACAATATTTAATTAAACTAAAGGCGCATAATAAAATTTTCATAACGTTAGGTAGGGCACCATAGCAATCTCATTTATTATCAATTTATAGTTCTCTTTGTAGTTTTCTTTTAAAGCGTTCACATTTAACAGGTCAAAGACTTTGTGTTCGACCCTTTTTTATTGGTAGTGTAAAGCTCGAATGAAGAGTACTCCCAGTAGTGCAATCATGGCAATTATTTTCCAAATTTTTTTTGTTATAAAAATACCGAATAAAGTATCACTGTTAAGCACAACTGCTAAGTAACTTTTACAAATATAATCAAATACACCACCCCCGCCCGCTGAAGTCCGTCGCCCGCTCGCAGGTCGCTCACTGGGCCTCCCTCATGGGTCTCACCCGGTGGGCTTGACCGCGCCGAGGGCGACGTGTGAAGAAGCGGAGGCGGGGGTATAGCCCCAACGACCGTCACATTCGTTAATGTGATGCGCACCCGATTCATCTTAAGTGGCTCACGCCAGAGAAGATTCCCCGCACGCCGCGGCGCCTTCGGCGCCGGCGACGCGCGAGACGAGGAAAGAGGATATAACTTACTTTATTTTTAAATATTTTTCATCAATTAAATACTTATCTTATCCTAACTATCTATACTAATATTAAAAAGAGGCAAGATTTGTATGTTTGTAACAAATAATCTGTCAAACTATTGAACCGGTTTCAAATATTAATTCATCATAAGGATACACATACATTATTTATTATAACATTTTTCTTTATTTAAATACATTTTGTCCGAGTGACATAGGCTATGTTTTATCCCGATAAATAAATTTCGCCCGTACAATGCCCGGCTGTATCACTAGTAAGTATAATATAATATTATAGATGCGAAAGTGAGTTTGTTTGTTGCGCTTCCGTGCCCTAATAGCTAAATCGAATTTAATGAATTCCCATACAGAAGTAGATGGGAACTTGGTTCTTAGCTACAACATCGCAATACTTATAATGAAAGGGGTGATTTACCTATAAAAATCTACATTATTTACTTTGAATTTTGCATAATTATTACAAAACCAATATTATCGCGAGCTGATTAATAAATACAGGGATTCCAATAAGTATGTACTTACTAGCGAAAAATGGGTTATTTGTCATAATATTAAGTAAACCTTTTTTGTAACCTTAAGTAATATCGTTAAAAAAAATGAAAAACAGTAAAATTCATTAAAATTCAATAATCATAAATACCTGTTATGATAATATATTTTTCATTATTTAATAAGAAGGAACTGTATCACAGTTTTAATGTTAGTACTTCTTATAGGATCAGATACTGCGAATACCCCATTTTTTTTTCTTTTACATAGTACACCGCTCTATCACTTTGTCATCGTTGTAACTTTTTAAATATTTGTCGAAATGACATAGTGTAAACGGCAAAGTTTATCGTCTTTAAATATCAAAAGCGATAAAAGTATTTGTTTTGATGAAAAATAATTTGTTAATACAAAATGTGCATTTTGGAAATAGATATCAAATAATATTTTAGTTTTGATTCACTATTTTAGCGGTAATGACTTACACATTAAAAATAGATATATGGTATCACGGACTTTTTTTTAGAACTATTTAAGAGATACATTTTCACTCTACATTACATTCATGTAACTTTTATTGTTTTTGCAGTGCAGGCCAAAATGGCTCGCAGATGGGACATTTTTTTCCGTCTCATGTGACACTTATTGCTATATATTGGCCAATTCACTCAATAACTACATAATTTATTATATATATGTAATTATCATATATGAGCTACATTACTCTTAAGTTTCATTAAAATCCATTCAGTATTTTTGAGGTGAAAGAGTAACAAAGATCCATACAAACGTAAGATTGAAATTAAAAGTGCAAGTGGTTAATATACAACTTTAAAGCGTTGTAGATCCTAAACAATCATATAAAATGAAAAATGGTGTTAGGAACCTAAATATGATTTTTGATTATCTAGGCAGCGATATCCCATTTGACATATTTTGTCAACTTTTTTTTTTTACTTCGTCACAATATGGCGCCTAATTTTGCCCATATTGAATTTTAATTACTATCATATCTTTAGTAGCACTCCCATGATTGAGACGAATCGATTGATGTATGAATCATCAAAATCGGTCCAGGCGTTTGGTCTCTAGTGTGCCACAAAGGAACAAACATACATATATAGACTGTTAAACACATAACCCTGTCTGCGTCGCGCTTCGCGCTCTTGCATTGCGCAGCCGGGTAAAAAGAGGAACTTAATTGAATAATGATGAAAATGGTTAAAAATTTGTTATGATTGTATATTAGAATGAAAAACGGTTGGCAATTGTGAATGAAGAGAACCTTTTTAAGGATATAACACTTATTAAAATTACAACTAAGAATAATTAAGATGTCTTACTAAGAAATATGTTTTGTGTGGCAGCCATCCATAGCAATGTTTGGAAGACAACTTCTCGAATGGATAGCCGTCCCATACTTTATCGAGTTTTAGTCGAGTTAAGAGTAGCTTCTTGGCAGCTTTCAATTGTTCTTTCTTAAAATAATATAGACTCAGTAAATTTTGAGGATAAGCTTTGTGTATGTAAGTTTTTTTTGGAAAATCCACTCAATTCAACCAAAAAAAATTTATAAATTTTTTGGTTGAATTTGGGTGGATTTTTCAACAAATTTCTTTTAAACGAGACGGCGTTTTTGTCTTCAAATCCTACAATGCTCAAAGGTATATCAATAAATTGTAAATGGGATTATTTAAATAAAACTAGTTTTAACGGGTTAATGCACGAACTTTATTTATTTATTGAATTTTCGCAGCCTTTTTAAAAGTCTTTCTAAGGTAGCTCGACAAAGTAAATAAAAAATCATTATTCTGACGATGCAGACCTGAGAAGGCTGCGAAATGTCAATCAATAAATAAAGTTCGTTCGTGCATTAAACCGTTAAAACTAGTTTTATTTAATGAGTTAGAGACTATTTAAGTTTTGGCTCAGCGAGAACTGCCGGAGGTGGTATTGGTAAGTCTCGCAGTCATTAAAAAGATTAAGTAGGTATATATTTGAACGCCGTGTCGGTTGCGATGCATTGTAATTTTTTTGGAATAACACTAAATTCTTCGTCTCAGGAAGTATCATCCGCAAATAGCACTGTTTCACATGAAGTATTAGGAATAAGAACATTTTGTCCATGAGACAAAGAGGCATTTAAAAAATACACTTGCAATGAGATGTTCTGATTCAAATAATGTTAGTGAACTTACATCATTAGAAAAGAATAAACGTGGCTTGTTCACTCGACTAGCTATACCTACTGACTGATATGAACTAAAACATTATACTGAATTATCATCTTTGTTTTTGTTAGTATTGTACATAGTACCTACACAGTAATGACTTCAATGATTAATAGATTAGACTTTTAATGCGTAGTAATAAGAACGACAATCGGTGTACACTGAACACATAGTCATTGTCTCGACTGCATAAAAGTTCACTTATATATCTAAGAAGAGTAACCTTGTAAAGTTCACATCCAGTTACCTAAACATAAATTTTTCTTTATCGATTTATGTTAAGTCAAGTAGATTAAACTAAAAGTCAGTTGGGAAAAATTGATAGTTTTGGGTAGCTGGACTTGCGGCCTTATTATGAGCCCTTAACGCCAGGCAAAAACAGTTGTTAAAGTAGGATTCTGCACTACTGTACGTATGTGATGTCTCGCTTTAACAGTGGAATTTGCCGGGCGTTAAGAGTTGATAATAAGGCCTCTGATCTACTCTCATTGGCATCATTTAATTAACAGAACACTGTTGTTAAAAATAAATAGTTAATATGTATATCGTAGAGCAGGGGTGCTCAGACTTGAACTGCTGGCGATCTACCTCAAAATTTTTAGACTACTTACGATCGACTCTGAGAGTCTGCAAGTATGTGTGATGCAGGATGCAGGGTTGTCGTACATACACGATACACCCCACCTACCTACCTACCTTGGTAGGGTGTACCGTAGCATATATAGTTATTAGCTTTCCGCACAATATACATTATTTTACTCAAGGTTGGGGTTAGGTTTAATTAGGTTCTTCTCTACAATATCAATGAAAAACTCAGTTATTAAAAATTGCGAGTTTATTGGTTGATACAAAACAAAAGAGTTACATATGGTGTTAAACTTAACTAAGGATTGACTTTGGATGTTGAAGCGTGGCACTGCATGTCCTCAGCATACTTTTCATAAGATGGTACATAACCACTGAGTGTTTATCGCACAAGCATGATGACATATGATCGTCAGTTAGTCGATTGCGATATTTTGACTTAATTATCTTCATTTTTAGAAAATGCAGACTCGCACAAGTAAGTTCACCCAAACATTGCCGTCAGTTGAAGGGCGATTTTCCTTAGATACGGATATTTATCTTCAGATATAAAACTCTAGAAATTTGTATCAGATGTTGTAGCTTTGAGATGTATATCTGATATAATCTGCACCGACTCATTTTCAACAGAACATGAGTTCCTAATAAACTGACTTTCTATTTCAGTAGCTAATCCCTAAATGTTTTTACAAGAAAAAGGATCATAAATGATGCTATATTTGTTAATTTACTGCAATCATAAAAACGCATTTCGAATTGTCCCAAAATATTTCATAATTCAGCCTCATACGTATTCAACTGGGGAATCCTTGCTTTCAAAGACGAAAAATGTTTCAGATCCTTTCTTTTCAGTTGATCTACCATAAGTTGCAATATACTTTTAAATGCGTTTACTGCGCCAATCATCTCAATAATAGTTTTTCCTTTACCTTGAAGCTCCAAGTTAATGGTGTTTAAAAGTGCATTGTGATGTCAGTCAAAAATGCCAAATCAGTCAGCCATATTTCGTTTTTCAACATCTGAGTATCATTACCTCTTTCGTCTAGAAAAGCTGTCATTTCGGGCAATAATTTTTGAAACCCTTCTAGAAATTATCCGCGTCTCAACCACCTGACGTCCGTGTGAAGAACTAAATCGGTGTGTTCAGCAGACTCCCTATCTTCCAACTGCAACTTAAAGAGCCACCGTTGCAAGCTACGTGCACGGATGGAATTCACAATTTTTGTTGCAATGCCCATAATTTCCTCCGTGTTATAACTTTTGAACACAAAAGTTGTTGATGTATAATGCAATGGAATAAAAAAAATGAAGGGAAATCTTCATTAGCTCGACACAATGCCACAAAACCGTTTTTGTTTCGAGTCATTGCTGGTGCTCCATCGGTTGTAATGCACACTAATTTATATATTGGTAGCTTGTAGTTTTTTACAAAATTGAATAAAACGTCATAATTATCTTCACCACGGGTCTTCCCGTTCTTCTCCCTTCAGAGGAATGATTGTCAAAAATTCTTCCTTAGCCAACATGTCATTGAATACCATCCGAATAAAAATACACAGCTGGGCAGTGTCTGTCATATCGGTGGATTCGTCGAACTGTAAATAAAAGTATGTACATTCCATGATATCATGTTTTAGTTTATCTGCCATGTCCTGACTCATGACTTCAATACGCCTTGTGACAGTGGGACGAGATAACTGAAGTTCTTTAAAAGCAGACATTTCTGTTTTATTTTTAAAATCTCCAAATATACACCCGCTTCAATAAATGCTTCCTTCACAACCGATCCATCTTCGAATGGTTTCTTGTGTTTTGCCAATATATGAGATATTTTAAATGACGCGATCGGAGCAGCTTTTGATTGTTTGGCTGGTCTTGTGAACATGGTTTGTTCTTTTTTCAAACAAGATATTTAAATCACGTACTTTTCGTTTTCTTAAATCACTCTGTGGCGGAAAATCCTTTTTAATAGTTTTTATGAACCGCTTTATGATGCCTCTCTAAGTTACCAGTCTTAGATACTGCAACTGACGCACGACAAATAAGACAATTGCACTTATCCTTCACCATACAAAAGAAAAATTCTTCCTCCTAATCGTTATTAAAATGATACGTCTTAGATTTCTTCGCTGCATGCAAATTTCTCTCCGATTAAGCCGTCGTATGTATACATATATACTAATTATAAATGTGAAAGTTTGTATGTTTGTTACTCAATCACGATGAAATTTGGTAATCATACTGTTTATGACCTGGATTGAGACATAGGATACTTTTTATTCCGGAAAAATGTGAGGTTCCTGTGGGATCCTCATAAAAGTAACTATGACTCTTTGAGTAATATTTTTTTAAGCATTTAACTGCTAGATATTAAAATCTAAAGATTTTTTTTATATTAGCTAGCTTCAATAACAGGATTAGTTCATTGTAAGGAACCCTAATAGAGTGAGACCATACTTGCGCTTAGCCAGTCCTTTAAATATAAGGTTTTCTCGAATCATTTGAAGAAGAAATTACTCATTGCTCAAATGACTGAATAGATTTAATGAGCGGTTACGAGCACTTACAATATTTTTTAATACCGCTTTACTAATCAAAGGTTTCGGAATCCTATGATCGGAACGGAAAGAGGTAAGAAGCGCCTTGTGGGCGGGGAAGGCGCGCCACAGTTATGTTTGAGCAAATGCTCATAACTTGATCAAAACATAGTTCTGATCGCGACCTTGCTCTAGGGCAGTGTTTCCTAACCTTTCCAATACTGCTACCCCTGTAATCTATTAGGAAAACAGATTTTACCCCGACTTTAAAATGTTATTATCAGTCCGAGAAATTCCAATTTGGCCACTACATCTTCGTCTCTAATAATGCCATCATAAGTTGAATATCTCGCCCCGCTTCCCACACTCAGCACCCCGCGGGCTCGCTAGCAAGAAGGTGCTCTATTTAGTAGTATTATTATACATATAGTATTTTCTTATTATTTAGATTTGACAAAATAATTAGGTTCTTTGTTACCCCCGAAGTATGACTGATTTACCCCCGGAGTGGTAATTACCCCCAGGTTAGGAACCCAGGCTCTAGGGTGTGAGCGCCGATTGGTCCGATTTTTTGATGTCGCCTCTAGTGAGCTTTGGGCATGGTTTTAAATTTATAAATTTAGTAATTTTAACACTGTTTTAGACCGTTTTGATTGAACATTATTTGAGATTCAAATTCAACGGGCCCCGTAACCGGACTGTAAAAAAAAGGTAGTTTAACCAGATGCGTAATTATACCGCTTGGTTCGCCAGCTCCTCAAATAAGATTTATCATGTACACTAAAAAAATATATAATTATAAAGGTAAATAAGTGATTAATCTTTATCAGATACTAGGGGCTCGCCCTCGCTTCGCTTCGGTGTAGAGCTGAAGTGTAGACTACAGTTTTTGTTCTCAGGCTTGTATTATACACAATTACATTCATCTATGATTCTTCTTATACCTGCATGCAAAGTCTCAGCCCGATCGGTTTAAAATTGACAAAGTTTCATACAAATTTTCATTCCCTGTTTTATCCCCTTGGGGGTAGAATTGATTTAAATCCTTTCTTAGCGGATGCCTACGTCATAACATCTACCTGCATGCCAAATTTCAGCCCGATCCGTCCAATGGTTTGAGCTGTGCGTTGATAGATCACTATGTCAGTCAGTCACCTTTGAGTTTTATATATATAATATTAATATATAGATTGACAAATGTGTGATTTCTAAATGTGACTTTTCCAAAATGTGGGCTTTGTGCGGCCGGTCAAGAGGGGAGACGGACAATGTTTTTTCCATAGAAACGTGCTCAATTGGTTCCTCCTTGATTGTAATCACTAAAGAATTGATTTTCATACATTAAATATAATTTTACTCATTCTATGCTTCTGTGTCTTCTTTTTTTCGATAACTTGTGTTTCAAAGAAACTAGAAGTCCTCAAAAATGACAAATCAAAAAAAAAAAAATGGGTGCGTGTACTTATGTAGGCGCGTGAGAAGTTATCCTTCTTTGGCATCGTTTAAAATTAGTTTTTAATTGCATGCAAATAATTAATTACAATAAATTAATAAGAAGTCTGGAAAAGGACACAGTCAATAAAGTTCAGTTTTAATTTGAAAAAAAAAAATGGTTGCCTGTAAAGTCGGTTTTACGGGCGAAGATTTTACGTGACAACGTCTTTTTCTCGGTAGAATATTTATTGATATGAATATAATTAAATTGCACAATAGGAACAAGGAATTGAATGAAAATAAGAATTGCACAAATTTTAACTATAGAAATATATTTTGTTTACTAAAACATTGTACATGTAAACTTAAACTTAACACGAGAGACTCATCGTAACGTTACCGAGCGTTACACTTTTTCATAAGTGACTCCCAGCCGCAACCTAATTTAAGACGTTGTCACGTCAATAAATAAATAATCAAAATATTCAATTAAAATCGCTACTGAATATAATTTATTAGAACATATGTGATTTGCACTTGTATGAAACTCAAACACGTATTCCGAATATACAAACTAGAAACATGTGGATAAATATTATAAATATGAATACCTATAACTGTTACTTTATTACATAAAAAAAAAGATGTGGTTTTTGGTTCTACTACACCAATGGTCAAGAGATGGCGCTGTAGTCTCCTGAATCGCGCTTTGGTTCCGTTGTTCCAGATTAATAAATACTTTTGATAGGCCTTCACAATGCAGTCGTTAGCACCCACTAAATAGAGATTCTATTTCTATTTTGTTGGTAGATTTTCTTAATGTGCGGTAAACACAAAAGTAACAGCATGAAGTTGGTCGCTAAAGCGAGAAGTTATACTTCTTTGGCATCATTAAAAATAGATTTTAATTGCATGCAAATAATTAATTACCATAAAATAATAAAAGGACTGGAAAAGGATAGTCAACACAGTCAATAAAGTTCAGTTTTAATTTGAAAAATTAAATAAATAATCAAAAATCAAAATATTCAATTTAAATCACTACTGAATATAATTTATTTGCACATATATTATATCATTCGCACTTGTATGAAACTAAAACACATGTTGTGAATATAGAAACTAGAAACATGTGGATAAATATTATAAATATGAAAACAGTGATCAGAGGCGACGAGCGTGACAACATGCGCGCCTTAGCGACCAACTTCATGCTGTTACTTTTGTGTTACAGTGATGCGCGCGCATCTTAAAATTTCACTCTCATCATTTTTTCATAACGCGCCTAAAGAAGTATAACTTCAAAAATCACCACTAAAGACGTCCAGTGTGGAGACTTTATGAGCATTTATAAAAAAAAGCAAAACAGAGGCATAGTATAACTATTTCTTATTCTATGGGTAAAATTTCATTTTCATATATCTAATTTTCGAAACCTCATATTTTTCAATTTGTATTCGCAATATTCAGCGTTAACTACTGTTGTCCCTATCGCACGGTATTTGCCAAAAGATAAAGAAGGATTATTATTTTTTACTATTCGGCGGTTTAAGATTTTTTGATAAAAAAAGTTTTTATTTTACATTTTTCTGTGGCTATAACTTTTGTAATTAAACTCGGCATCATAATCTGTGAGTGAACAATAAATCATCCCCTGTTTTCATATCTTTAGGGTTGGATGTTTTTTTCCTAGTTCATATGGGACCAACCAGTGCCGTCTTTGACCTATTGGAGGCCCTGGGCATATTAGGATAATGGGGCCCCTATGACTTCTGTTTGGTGATTTAACAGGAACTAGGGACTTTGCATTTGATCTGAGGGGCCCCTATCGATCGCGGGGCCCTGGGCACTTGCCCAAAGTGCCCACTGGGAAAGACGGGTCTGGGACCAACCAATAAAGAAAGAATCATCATAATCAGACTACTGTGTAAAAAGTTATGTGTGGTCATACATTACTATCAGTAAATGTACAGTCAACAATCAATCATCCCCTGTTTTCATACCCTTAGGGTTGGATTATTTTTTCCACATTCATATAGTACCAACTTTGGGGTATACCCTTTCCAATAAAAAAAGAATTATCTAAATCGGACTACTCTGTAAAAAGTTATGCGTGGTCATACAAATAAAAGTTATGCGTGGTCATACATAAAAAGTTATGCGTGGTCATACATAAAAAGTTATGCGTGGTCATACATATACAAAAACAAATATACGCGTCGACGCGAGAAGCACCTTCGTTTTTTCACCGGTTAAAAATAGTAACTCAGGGGTAAAGAAGTTGCGGTGAGCCTTTGTTAATGTTTCTGGTAGGTACTGTAACGTCCGTTGCGTTACAGGCTCCTTGTTTATTTTTTTACTTATTCTTTCTTGATTTAATTTTTTTTTTGTTATCCCGGTACTGGAATCTACCCTAGCCTCCACCATGCGGCGATCTACCCTGAAGGGTTAGGCCATGGGAGCGTAACTTTATCAGATGAAAAACAACTAATAAATCTTAATAATCTTTTATTTTATTAGAAATCACGGCGAATATAATATATGTAACCGTGCCTGATTTCTATCTGCTGGAATCTTCTATCAAACGACAGAAGATTCCCAATTACAAATCTTTATAATTAATATAACTGCCAGCCGTAGGCATGACATGAACATGAACAGAGTTTACCCAAAAAAAGGAGGCTGTAACGCAACGGACGTGACAGTACTAAACTCTTTAATAATTTCATAATAAAATTAATGGATGAACCATCACCAATCGTATTTACTATAAGCCGCACACTCAGTAGGTATAGCGACCACAAAGCGGACACACAGCTTGTAACCGCTCAAAATGCAACTTGTGTTTATTTGTGTTGTATTCCTGAGTATTTACCTGAACACTTCCATTGCAACATATGTGACTGAACCAGGTACGCATAAGTATTTTTAAACTTACATTTAATCGGAATACTTGATTGTTAGTTCAAATAAACTGTTAGTCATCTAAAGTAGATAGTTGTATTCATAATTAATATTAAAATGCAATAGTGTTTTGGTTTATTACGCTTTTACACCCATACCGCTGAATCGACTAAGCTGACATTTCATGTAGAGTAACAAATAAATGTTTATTGGTAACTTACTTGTTTATCATAGATACCTATATTTTTTAATCTTTGAAATGCGTTTTGTTGAGTTGAAATAGAATTATTTTTAGTATTTGTTTCTTAGGTTTTCACGCACTTCACTCATTAAATAAAACAAGTTTCAACGGGTTAGATGCACTGATTTTATTTATTAATTGACGTTTCGCAATGTTTGCATTTCTCTGGAAGGTAACAAAGTAAATAAAAAATCATTATTCCTGACGACGGACGCAGAGGATGCGATACGTCAATCTTTATATATATAATTCTTCTGTGAGTGTGTATGTCACTGAACTTCTCTTAAACGACTGGACCGATTTTGATGAATTTTTTTGTGTGTGTTCAAGGGGATCTGAGAATGGTTTAGATTCACAATTTTGTCCGCTGGACAATGTTTTATTAATTAATTTTTAATTTATTAGTAGTTGTTGATTTTGGAATGTTTTACATTGGATCCGACAGACGGCGCTACCATCGCAGTGTCAAATATTAAATAATATTCAATTTTAAAAGGTTTTAAAAAATAAAAAAACCGATTTTACGCCCCTAGCTCCATCTAGCGGCAAAGTGCTATTGGGAACGCGCACCGTTATGTTGCGTGTTCCAGAGTTGGAAAACCATCGAATTTATTTATTTATACACCTCAGGGTTTAACCAAAAATATTGTACATCCTATGGCATTACGATAAATTAAGTTTTTGTAAATAAAAAAATATATTTTTTAAATAAAATAGTTTGAGTGTAAGCTTTTTTACCTTTAATTAAAACAAGTTGAAGATTTCATTACACATACTCACACGCTATCGATTAGTCTAATTGTAATAAATTTACATGTAATGACGTTAGATATTGTCATAACATTTGAATAATAATTTTCATCAAAATGGTCCAGAATGTTTTAGCTTATTAAAAAAAGTTTGAAATTTTCAAATTAAAGACGTGTAGACAGGACAACGTCTGTCGGGTCCGCTAGTCTTATATATAAAATTATCGTGTTACATTGTTAGTTACCATACTCCTCCGAAACGGCCTGACCGATTTTTATGAAATTTTATATGCATATTCCGTGGGTCTGAGAATCGGCTACTATCTATTTTTTATATCCTTAAGTGATAATGGTTTTCCACCTGTAACGTAATGTTCTGAAACCTACAATGCGCCTTCGCGCCAAAATTCAAACTATTGGGTATTGTAACGTACTGTTCTCATTTGGGTTAGGAGGAATGTTATCCCAGGAAATTGATAGAACACTAAGTTACACACCCGTATTAAAAAAAATACAACTCTAAATTTTCTCTTCTACGTACGTAGTTCGCTGGGTTAGCTAGTAAATAAATAAAATCAGTGCATCTAACCCGTTGAAACTTGTTTTATTTATTTTTAGTATTGTTTGTAAGTATGGATATCACCTAGCTTAAGGCAATTGAATGTTTATGACCGTAAACACAATATACTGTACATTTATTTTAGGGAAAATCTGTAATCAGCCGTACTGTCGGTTTACACTATATTTAAATACTTTAGTAAACATCGTTGATTTTCTAATAAAAATAAAGACCCTGGGCGGTTACAGACCAATTTTTCTCAAAATAATATAATCTATACTTATAATAAATCTGTAGAGAGGTCAATTCTGTACATACATGAAATATATTTTCAAAATAACTATCAGGGGGTGATTAGTGATCGATACTGATGCCAAAAATGCAATCAGTAAATTTTTTGTCTGTCTGTCTGTCTGTCTGTCTGTGTGTATGTTCCTTATAGAAACAAAAACTACTCGACGGATTTTAACGAAACTTGGTACAATTATTCTTCATACTCCTGGGCAGGTTATAGTATACTTTTCATCACGCTACAATCAATAGCAGCAGAGTAATGAAGGGAATGTTGGGAAAACGGGAGAAGTTACTCCATTTTTTAAGCTTCCGTCGCGTGTGCAGCCTTAATGGTTAAAGTTACATGGAAATCATGTATGACGGAAATATTCTACATAAAATTGTCAAAAAATATCCCGCAACAGCATATGTCTATCTTTTATGGTTGACTCACAATAACACGTGTAATTATATAAATAAAGTCATTGTTTATAGCACAAGCCTGAGAACAAAAACTATAGTTTACACTACAGCTCTATACCGAAGCGAAGCGAGGGCGGGCCACTAGTTTTAAATAAGCGTTATAGCGGGTAAAAGTTTGTACCGGAAGCAATTACTCTAACCAGATGAGGTCGCAATCACTCGCTTTATATAAATTTCATTAATAACATCCATTAAAGGAGGTATGAATAATATTTTGTAGGTTTCATATATGTGTTATTCTTATTAATACAAGTTAGTGAGTACTTATATTTTTATTTTTTCAAGGTATTTAACTGCTAGATGTTAAAATCTAAAGACAAGTTTACTAGAAAAATTTATGTTCCATTGAAACATCTAGCAGTTAAATGCTTAAAAATACAACTATAATTGCTATTTCTATATGAATTGTTTAATACTTGTAAATTCATTTGACATTATGGGTTACCTACAATGCAGAGAGTTAGCGCTGTATTGCCGCTTAAAAAAACCCTCAAGAGAATATTCGACAAGGCCCTCAGGGCTGCGATAGCATAACGGTCAGTGCATTCACCCGGATAACGAAGGGTGCGAGTGCGAGTCCCGTCTGTTGCCTGGTCCGCGTGGAATTTTTTCTAGTAACATTTTTTTTAGTTAGTGTGTAGTTAAGACGGTCTAGTACCCATTGGACCCTCAAGATTCGACCCAAAAGCAAAAAGTGCCCATTGGACCTCTTTTTTGGTGTCCATTGGACCTTCTTAAAACATTTTATATTCAATGTGCCCATTGGACCTCTTTATTGGTGCCTATTGGACCTCCTTAAAAAAATTATATTCAATGTGCCCATTGGACCTCTTTTTAAGTGCCCATTGGACCTTCAAGATTATACCCTACTGCCAGTTGGACCTTATTAACAGTTTTGTTAAGTACAGTCATGTAGAAAATTGCAGACAAAAATAAAATTAATAGTAGGTATTATAAAGCCACTAACTAAATACTGTATAAGTACTGACTCCAAACAGAAAGTACTCCTAAACAAATTATAAAGAAATCAGGTTACCTTTTTTCTTCGAATTAACGATATTTCGCCGTCCCCGGAGAATAAAAAGATAACTACAAAAATGTAAGTTTTCAGGAAAAATAAAAAAAAACTGTTTTTGTCTACTGCTCTATAAATACAGGACGCAGAAAGATGACAGTAACCTTTAAGAAAAGCTAATTTTTAACACATTTGGATTTTTTAGTAAGATACTCGTACAATAAGATATATGGGAGATATTTAGAAAATAAAAAGTGAATCAAAAGTAATCAAAATTTAATTTGTATAATGTTTATTTTTCTTTTATTCGTATTGACAAGGAGCCAAAACCAAATATTGCACTACTGACATGTATTTTTATTCTATGGGTTATAAGGGTGCAAGTGACAATGATAATACTTCAATATCTTTTTATTTTCGTAAATATTGTAAAACCTTTTTTTCTTTAAAGGACATTATATATGTTTGTGCTTTAGGTTTAAAGGAATGATCATTAATTACATTAATTTTAAATTTAATTTCATTAATAATCATTAATGTAAAAAGGTTTCACTCAATAGGGCGATCGCTGATCGCTACACTGACCAATAAATACCCTTACAGCGCAACACCAACTCCACAAGACCTTTCAAATCGAACAAAGTTCGATTGATTCAAAGTTCCTTAAAACAGCTTAGATCTAGACATTCTAAGCAACATGACGGTGGATTTTGCAAAGACATCATCTTTTAATCTAAGACTGAAATTCTGAGGGAGATTGAGTGTTTTTATCGGCAGTTATACTCCTCTTAAGCACATGATGAAAGGAAGGTTATAGATTCCAAGCCCAAGCAATCTCTGCGCTTAAACAAAAGGGCTGGCGCTTACAACCATAGGCCATTGTTTAGAAAAATTACTCACATATGTGTCTTAAATATTTAATTTGGTAATTTATAATGTTTTAGAAAAGAAGACTGTTAAATTTTTTATGGATGTTGGTAGTGGGTCTTTCGGCTTTAAAAAACTAGAATTTTATTTTATGTCGGTTTTTTATATTAAAATAACATAAATCTATAATAATTAATTAATTAATAAATAATTGATTTGTAAATGGCAAGTTTATTTATCTATTTTTTGTTGCCAAGCATCAAATATATTATGTTCAATGTGTAACAAAAGCAGTGATAATAATTCTGATAATAATCCATGACTGGACTAATTGACATTTGCCATAGTGATTGAGTTGACGTTATAAGCCACCACGCACTAAAAATATGACGTTACTAAGATATGGTGGCCAGCATACTTACAAAATTGTTTAATTATTAAATACGATTTTAAATTAATCGGTAATGAATAAAAAAATCAAAGTATCCATTCATGTTATACAAACTTTCAAATTATATATATTTCGTCGCTGCCGGAAACCGACTACCGCTTTTGAACCATATCCTTTAGTTAAAGTATGTTTTTATAATAAGCAATTTCTCGTTAATTGTAAAAATATGATTAGAAAACATTTTTTTATAAAATGTAATATGAAAATATTACATTGGTATTTTATTTTACGAATATTTAGAATACATAATAATTGTGCTTCAATAGTTAATCTGCGTGATATAAAAACTGTATGTATAATTTAGTTAAGATATCTGATAAAAAAACATTTCTATTTAAAAGTAAAATAACAAAATCTGTGATTTGATTATTATATTATATGGTTTGTTGCTGATGATTGATGTTTCGAATTTTATAAATATGTTGATTTTAAATACTTACATTTATAACCTTTGTGCTTTTATTTATTTTATCAATATTTAGAATATATAATAATTGTGCTTAATCTGTGTGATATAACACACCATATTTATAATTTAGTTAAGCTATTTGATAAAAAATAATTTCTATTGGATTTAAAAGTAAAGTAAAAAATCTGTGATTTGATTATTATATTTTATGTAAATATTTATATTGGTTTGTTACTGATGATTAGTGTTTTGAATTTTATAAATATGTTGATCAAATACTTAGATTTATTACCTTGGTGTTTTTATGTCTTTTACAATGTTACTTTACTACACGACTGTACTTTACCGTTCCAAAAGAATTAGCCAAATAGTTAAGAGCTCCAATAGCTCCCATTGTGTCATTAAGTACGTCTTTGAGGGTCCAATGGGCACCATGTTCTTGATAGGAGGTCGAACGGGCACTTTTTTGTAGGTAAGGTCCAATTAGGAGGGTCCAATGGGTACTAGACCGTTAAGTTAAGACGAGTGTCCTACTACCGATTTAGTTTATGTGACAACTGATTTAACAGCATATCTATTTATTATCTTACATTTTATTTAAGTTACCAAAATTATATTAAAGTTCTTTAACCTCAATAAATGATAAACTTCCACAAATAAAACTTAACCTTGGTACACCATTCCTAAGTGATACTAAGTAGACATCTACATAATAATAAACCTACCTTTTTCCTCAAATCAAGCTTATAACTGGACAAACCACAGATTCCTCGCAAAGTTTGTTGTGACTGTTAAACAAGTTTGACCGTTTTTTTATCATTAGTTACAAACAATGACCTTATATTTAGATAGGTTACAAAACCAATAATTATTATCATATCACGCATGACTAACATATTTGAAAACAAAAGCTACCTATATATTTTTCGCTTTGGCAGCAGATTAAATAAAAACTGTACATCATAATATAGGCTTTAGTTTATACTAAACATTCACATCTATCCTGAGGTCAAGAAAGGAGTTTCACCATCATCATCACCTATTAATGTCCCCACTGCTGGGGCACAGGCCTTCCCTATGGATGGAATAGGGAGATTGGGCCATGACCCACCACGCGGGCCCAGTGCGGATTGGCGGGTGCTAACGACTGCAGATGCAGCCGGGACCAACGGCTTAACGTGTCTTCCGAAGCACGGAGGAACTCGAGATAGAAGATTTTTGGTCACCCATCCAATGACCGACCACCGCGAAAGTTGCTCAACTTCAACGATCGCAGCCGAGCGCGCTAACCACCCGCGCCATTGAGCTCCTCAAAAGGAAAGGAGTTTATTAGTATTTTTTTATTTTGTTTTTGGACAGGCTTTTAAAACTGCTTGAATTATAATTAGGTACCTAAATAACAAAAAGACGACAGGAAATGACTCAGCCAAACTAGGTCAAGCCTAATTACTATACTGTAGCTACATCGCAGATTTTAGAGAACTATTCATACCAAAAATCATCAAAAGCGAATTAGCCATGCAAATGTAACAGTTAGATTTTCCCATATTTGACTCTATGAAATCCTTCCCAGGATCTAATCTGTTCTCGTTTATCTCTTATCTATTAGACAAGTCCGTCCGTCTGTGGTGCTGTTTCAGCGGCCAAACCGTAAGAGATAGATAAAGAGAATATTACGTTATAAGTTAAGAATAGTCTGATAAGACTACAAACCGGATTTGAGTAACGTAGCACTTCCGGTTTTCGAGAAATCAGGTTATGGTGAACATTTGGTTCACTGGTTTGCTAGTTTTGGTGTCAAATGATGAACTTCTTCAGAGGCCCAACAACGAACTTTGAGAGCTCCGTAATCGTATCGTATCGTCAGTTTTTCTATGATATCTAAGCAGCGCCCCTAATGGACGTAATGACAAACTGACTCCTTTCATACAAAATTTGAGGTAAAGACCTAATTAAGCGATGTCTCACAGAATGTCTATCGCATTTATATTACCTAACTAGCTTTTGCCCGCGACTTCGCCCGCGTTATCGTCGTTTTTCGTAAAAAAGTAGCATATGTCCTTCCTCAGGGTTCCGTGGTTTTGATGTGACAGACAGATTAACTTTCGTATTTTAGTAGGGAAATATAATACTGTTAAAAATATCGCAATAAGGAACCGCAGAATATTATTATTATCACTGTGCCCCGAGACCATCAGCGTGTAACTCCTTGTATGTTATTATGTTAATGTATTGGTAATATTGTTTAGATCGCTTTCACATGAGTCTTAAGTACATATAGAATGAAAATACTTCAGCGCAAAGCTTCCGGGTAGACTACGTTGAAATTTGACCCGTCCGGAACGTGAACATAAAAAATTCTAGGATTGCTAACCCGGGAAAGACCGACATAACTGATCATGTGAAGATCTACTCCAACAACACGAAAGGTCTGCCCTTGAGCCTTATTTATTGTCATTGCATAACACACCGATACTGGGAATTGCGTTCTTTTAAATTGGAATGGAAAATTATTTGGTAGTATGGGAATTCTGGGAATAAAGATGGTTTCTCCTGCACCGCAACCTATTAAAATTTGAGCCTCGATTACATTTTGTTGCAACTGGGTTACTTTAAGCCGAGTTCCATTGCAAATTTGTGGTGGTCTTAAATTTCGGAGCAGAATAATCGGAATGCCAATTTTTAAACAAATTTTATTACCTAATAACTTATATCGTTTTGTTTATACTGGAATAACATTGAATTTTTTAGGTACAGGCAAAACAGGCTTCCGCCACGATTATCAATACCGCAAGGATGCGAAGGGGTGGTTCAAGTTTCACCAGATCCCGGCCACTTGGGAGAACGCGCGGATCAAATGCTTCCATGAAGGTAACTGCCCTCTATAATACCTCAGTTTAACAAACATACCTACTAACATTTTCTTTTATAGATAGGTCCGACAAATGACTCCACCCCACCTTATGTTAAATGACGGTTAAGCCCAGACGTGAAGAGAGCTGGTACTGCAGTTCTACCTGCCACACCAGCCATCCTCACCTTGCCGGCCTGCGTGTTACTTCATCACGCCTCTTTTAAAGGTTCCCAGGTTGTTAGAAGTAGGGAACACGTGACACGGGCAGAGCATTCCATTTACGGATAGTGCGACAAAGAAATGAGTCACTAAATTTCGTTTGTACGCGTTGGAAATGTGGCCACATTTACTAAGATATTGGGGCAGCATTTTTAGTTACACTTCTTATATTAAAAGGGTGGCAAACCAGCATATGGCCCGCCTGACGGTAAATGGTCACCATAGCCTATATATACGCTTGAGATAAAAAAAAATATCATTTGGCCGTGGAGCCTTGGAACCTTAGTGTCGCCGCAAACAGGCCACCGACCACAACCACAAAACGCCGCCACCGGCATATTTCTTGTAGTTTTCATACATTTTATATGGAATCGCCACATACGGTACGCCGGTGGCCGCCACACGCTACAAATCGTCGTGGCTCGCTTCTTGTGGCCCGCACCGGTCACTTAATGCGCCAATACAAAACGCCGCCACACGTCACTCGCGCGTTTCCCTGCCCCTCTCTCCCTTACATTAGTCGGTCGCTGTCGCGCGCTTCAGTCACTTTAGTAGCCGCTTCTAGCTTCTCGTGGCGGCGTTTGTGGCTGTGGCGTGTGGCCCGTGTGCGGCGACACTTACTCACCGACAGACACCAACCCGCGACGGGCTATCCAATTCAAGCAGAAAATTGCCCTACCTCTCTTAGTAACTAACACCAACACTAGTATCTGTTGTACGGTCTTCGCGGCATACAATATATAAATATTTCCAACACTCACACCAATTAGCCCCAAAGTATGCACTGTAAGGCTTGTGTTATGGGATACTAGGGTAACGGATAATACATATTAAACATCCATGACTAGAGTACAAATGCTCGTATTCATCACACAAACATCTGCTCCCACCGGGATTTGAACCTCTCTAGTCGGCGACACCATGAAACCCAGCGTACAAACCACTCGGAGGTCGTCATCGGTCAGATCTGCTGCTACCAGTCCACTGAGTTTAAATAAAACCGCTTGCATTTCTTGCATGTCATAACGTTGTGCTTTTTTAACTTTCTTTTATACCAGTAGGGCGATTCTGTAAAAAAAAACTCGCTTCCGATTTCGGTAGCTTTAGAAATTAAATTGATTGATCTCGGCCGCGAAGAAATCTTTCTATTAAAAAATCTTTAGATTCAAATATTTAGCAGTTAAATGCTTGGATTTTTTTTTTAATGTAACAATATAATTTTGTTCATGAACGCAGGCGCAGTGCTAGCCTCACCCCTCAACAAGGAGATACACACTGTCATGCAAGATATCTTGAAGGACGAAAGGCAAATGGCCTTCACTGGCATTCAGTCGCTCACTTCCGTAGGGGACTACTTCTCTATTGAAGGTAAGACCACTAAATATCTCACGTCAATGAGCCTCCTCCAACGATATTAAATACCCTAGATACACCAACACGAACAAAATCGTACCCGAAACCTGTACAAAAGGTACATTGTACGATCCTCGGAGTTCCGTAAGATGATCGCGTAGTCAAAATCAATATAAGGCATTATTTAAATATTGAAATTAACCTTAAATACATACTGTACAAGGACTTAAATAAAACGCATGCGTCAAGGACTTCTGACAGTTCGAAATGCAAGCTCGTAAAATTTTAAGACTTATTGCTATATGCGGAAGAATTTAGACCTTATTTTAGTTCTTTGACTCTACGCGCAATTCTTATCGCGCTGTTAGCAATACAGCAGGCACGGACCGCGAGGAAAAGAGACGGCTATATCGTGACGTATAACCGACCATGTATTTGAATATCACAAATATTTTATATTAAATCAGTTTATAATAATATTAGATCAAAGTTTACTTCAAATGCGTTAGATTAACAAACATTAACTAGATACATATCGAAAAAACGACACTTTTCGTACTCTAAGTATTATTTTCGCATTTTTTCGCGGAGCTATGTGGCATCTTGACTTTCCGGTCCGATGATTGGGACACATTTTGAGCGCTCGTGGTCTATATAGGGTATTTAATATCGTTGGCCTTCTTCTACTTATTCCCTATTTTATTACCGGGATATGCAGTGCGTCTAAAGTAATAGGTATATCGTCGTTATGTTACTACTACTGAGTAGAGGACTTTATGGATGGAATAGGGGCATGCATGGGCTTGACTCATCACATCAATGCGGTAATATCAACGACTGCAAATTCTACGAGACCAATGGATTAAGCTGTTTAAGGTTCCGAAGCACGGAGATCCCATGCCAACCCAAGCAGTAAATGGCAACTCAGATCTAAAAATCTATCCACGTTAACAATATTTCAGTTATCCTAAAAGCACTTTCTACACCCGAAATAAGATCTAGGTACAAACCTGTGCTTCGTATGTAAGTGGGCTTAAGACCTAGGTTAAGGAATTTCTATTAAAAGATAATGATTTTCGCAGGTGTTCACTTTAGCGAGATGCCTATAGAGTGGCGCGCGGATGAGCCGAACAACCTGGGCGATGAGGAGCACTGCCTTGCCATGTGGCGCGACGGCACTCTCGCTGACGTCAGCTGCGCCAACACCAGATCATACATCTGCTACAAGAACAAGACTTCAGATCTGTTCATAAACTCTTGCGGTACCAGTGATCAAGGTGTGTATGGCATACTCCAACCACAGGGATGGGGAAAATGGGACAACGGGCCTCTCTCCGGCCCTAGAATTGTTGAAATTCGATCCGCAATCATCAATCAAAACTTAACTTATAAAAAGTAACACCCCGGGGGCGAACCTGGTAAGAAAAATAAACTCAGGGGCGTATTTACCCTGATGCTGATAAAACCGTCTCAACGAAAATTTCTCCTTAAACGTTTCACTGCGTGAGCGTCTAGCCAGTGCGCACTCACATGATACTTTGTGTCTGCCTTCTTTACTCATGTGCTCCAACAATATGGTAAATAGTTTCAAGTCATCTGGATCTCATGTGTTAATGGGCGTTCCCCAGGGTTCTCTTTTGGGTCCGTTCCTATTTTTACTGTATATAAAAGATTTGCCATTCTTTGTGCAGAAATTCTGTGAGATTGTATTGTTTGTTGATGACATATCTTTATTATTTAAGGTTGACAGGTCCAAGAATAACTTTGACGATGTAAATGATGCTATCTCACAAGTATTGCACTGGTTTGAATCTAAATAATTTAAAACTTAATGCTAATAAAACTAAATGCATAAAATACGCTTTATCAAATGCTAGAAACGTACCAGTTGAAATTAAATTAAATTATGAAAAACTAGATTTAGTTGAATCAAGGTTATTCTTAGGTTTAAACTATTGATTCAAAATTACAGTCCTCATATTTCACTTTTAGCTGGTAAACTTAGTTCAGCGGCTTATGCTATCCGAAAGATGAAGCAACTCTCTAATGTTCTAATTTAGATACTGCTAGGACAGTATACTTTAGTTACTCTCACAGTATTCTCTGTCGAATAGCAGCAGATATCGAAACGATATTTATTTTGCAAAAACGTGATGTAAGAGCTATTTATTAACTAAGCTCAAGACAATTTCTCAAAGAAAAATTTAAAAAAGTCGGGATTTTGACCGTTGCTTCGCAATGTATCTACCATTGTTTACTTTTTGTTTGAAACAATATTAACTGTTTTCTCAAACATAGTGACGTATATACTTTTAATATTAGGAATAAAAACAAACAAAAGTTACCACTGTACACATATTACATAAAGTTCATGGATCATTCAATTTTTTTTTTTTATTTATTTAAAAGGTCTTCCAACATTTGTTATCACTTACATAAAATAAATTTAAACATTTGCGACTAATTACATGAGTGTAACAAACATTTATAGGAAAACACCACATGCATCGGAAACATTAAATGTTGATTAAATGAACTTATAAATTAACGACTATATCTATTATTTACAATAACAAGTACAGATACAGCATATTAAAAGACCTCAAAAGAATACATCTAATAGTTGCACTACTTCCATTTTTTCATGAGCAAAGATCTGAACCTGGCAAATGAGTCACAATGGAGATCAATAACGTTGCTATGTTCATTAAGAAGCCTGCATAATCTTGGTACCGGTGAATTCGCGCCTAATTTTGTTTTTCTATGTGGAGGACATAAAGGGATTATAGAAGATCGGGGATATCTACGAGGAACCCGAAATCCGAATCTTCCGATAAGAGGAGGACAGTCAATTTCTCTATTGAATAATTTAAAAACAAAACAAAGGTCTAATAGTTTCCGACGGTTGTCAAGAGAAATGATTCCGAAGAAACGCAATCTTTTTTCATATGATCGAACTGTTCTCGAAATGCAGTTGCTATACGACAGGTAAGACAGAAATTTCTTTTGTACTCTCTCTATCTTTAAAGAATGAGCAGCATAGTGTGGTCTCCAAACCACACTACAGTACTCAGTCAAACTGCGAACGAGTCCATTGTACAGCAGAATTTTAGTTCGCGCGTTCCTGAACTCTTTGGCGTTCCTATTAACAAAACCCAACATTTGATTTGCTCTCTTCGATATATTCTCTATATGAGGAATAAATGTAAGTTTTTTATCAAAAATTACTCCTAAGTCTTTGACTTCATTTGTTTTCTGTATCTTGGCCGAACCTATGGTATATTCAGTATCCAGAGAATTGTTTTTTCTCGTAAACTTCATATGAAAGCACTTACTCACATTAAGATTCAAGCCGTTGTAGTGACTCCAGTTCAGCAAGCGGTCTATATCAGACTGTATCATTTTCATTTTCTCTGGCGTATTACAATCAGACACCAGCTTCAAATCATCGGCGTACATGAAGGCCGTGGAATATTTAAAACATGTAGGGACATCATTGATAAAAAAATTGAAAATAACCGGTCCCAAATGCGAGCCCTGCGGAACGCCCGAAGTTATGTTAAAAGTTGCCGAACAGAAGCCATTCCCAACGACATAGAAAACTCTGTCACTCAAATAAGATTTAAACCATTCAAGAAGAGAACCAGCCACTCCGTAGGTCTAAAGTTTAGCTAAAAGTACCTCATGTGATACCCTATCAAACGCCTTGCTAAAGTCAGTGTATATCACATCTACCTCCTTGCCAGCATCTAAAGCCTCGACCAAGGTTTCAGTAAAAAGCGCTAAATTTGTAGCAGTAGATCGACTCTTAACAAAACCGTGCTGACTTTCAGTAAGATAAAGTTTTAAATGATTCTGCAGTAAAGGACAAATGAGAGACTCGAAGACCTTCGCAAACGTTGACAGAATAGATATGGGTCAATAATTACTTACTACGTCCAATCCTTCCGTTTTATGGACGGGTACAACTTTAGCTGTTTAACATTTTTTCGGAAACACTCCTGTTTGAAGTGACTTATTAAAGATTATGTGTAACGGTGGTAACAATTCTTTAGCACATGTTATAATGAAGATTGGTGGAATACCGTCCGGTCCCGCACCTTTGTGAGCATTTAGAGATTGTAGGCTTTTCAATATTATTTCTTTGTCAAGAACCGGAGCAGTTAATGTCTGACTGAGATTATGCAACAAATTTAAATACTCAGTGCAGGTGTTTTCTGATCGTACCCCGCTAGGAACGTTGTACACCTTCTCAAAATATGAAGCAAATAGATCACAAATTTCAGATCCATTGGAAGAAGTATTATTGCCATCAGTTATTGCTTGGGGAAAGTTACTTTTATTTCCTCGTTTTGCCTTTATAAAAGACCAAAAAAGTTTCGGGTTGGCTTTAATTCCTTCCTCCACTGTGCAGATGTATTTTCTGTAGCTTTCGTTTGCCATGTTTTTACAGCGTTTTTTAAGAATCTTAAGCTCTATTTCATCGAGGGGATTATGATATTTTTTATAACGCTTTCTGACATTTTCTTTTTCCCTTAAAGTTCTTTCAAGATCCTTATCAAACCAAGGTGGAACAGTTTTCTTTTTAACATTCTTCGTGGAAACATGTACACTTACTATTTGATTTAACTCTCTATAAAAAATTCTCACCATATAGTTCACATCAGCAGCTTTACTTAAAATGTCATCCCATCTATATTCAGCCAACAACTTACGAATAAGTACATAATTAGCTTTACGAAAATTATGTATTATGTTATCATTGTTAAAAGTCAATGTAGAATTGATTACCTCAGAAATGCTTATCTCAAGGGGAGGATGCAAATTGTCAACTTTACTTAGAGCGTCAGAGGATTCCGTGACCACAAAACTAGATACCGGCAAGTCAGTAAGAACTAAATCCAATATCCGTCCCAACCTGTTAAAAACTTTGTTATGCTGATTTAGTTTGTTAAGATATATCAATTCGATCAGTGATTCACTCGGGGCTGGAGGACTGTAACCATTTGACTGATCACTTACCAGGTCCCAATCAATTTTGCTCAAGTTAAAATCTCCTACCAATAGTGTAAAATGATTGGAGTTGCCTAAAACTTTACTACAACCATCAACAAAACAATCTAGTAAAGATCTACTAACAGGTGGTGGCAAATAAATTCCACACAAAGCAACTCTGCCAATAGAAAAAGAAATTGGGATGTACAATTCAATCCAAAGGTCTTCACATTTAGTTTCCCATTCCGATTTTCGAACAGATTTGATAGATTTTTTTACCGCTATAAGCACTCTACCACCATCCTTTCTTACATTGACACCAGAACTTTGGCGATCTCGCCTGTAAACAATATACCTATCATCGAACAATTCGTTGCTAAGTACATTCTCATTAAGCCACGTCTCGGTTAAGATAACAACATCATAATTATTACACGACAATTCTTTTAGGAAATTGTGAGTTTTTGTACGTAACCCACGAACGTTTTGGTAATACACATTAAGAGATGAGAATTTTATAAATTGAAATTTCATTCCAAAACATCACTCGTTCACAATAAAATGTATTTATTCTAGGTTTTGCAATACTTCAAGGTTTCTTACAATAATATAGGAAGACTTGTCAATTTTTCTCATAAAAATACGCCCGTTGCGGACCCAAACGTATTTATAGCACTTCTCCTTAGCTGCTAGTCTTGCTGCCGCATGCAAAGCTTTATTTGATGTTGACAGGTGCTCGCTGACATAAATTGGGATCTTCTTTCCCGCTATCCCGACATGAGAAGTATTCAATTTGTCACTCGAATTAGCCTTATTAAATGAAATCGCGGCTGCCAAAAATGCTTGCTTCACCTTAGTTGTCGCAAATTGTATTACTATTGATCTCGGACGATCATTGTCCTTATTCATTTTGGGGACACGGGTAAAGTGGATAAGATTTTCAACGGCAACCTCACAATTTATTGTCTTTCCCAATTCTACTACAATTTCCACTAAATTTTCATCCTTCTTCTCAGGGACACAGTGAATTTCTACGTTATTAACGCGGGCATTTTGCTCCAATTGATTCACTCTACTTGAAAGGTCATTCAACTTTGATTTCAATATTTCATTATCATTTTGCATATGTTTCATCTTCTCGTTAAGCTTAGCATGCTCCTGTGTGATTTCTTCATATTTCATATTCATAAAATTCATCGATTCTTTCACATCTTTCAACTCTTGCTTCACGGATTTTAGTTCTTCATTTAAAATATTAGCCATGGTATTGCGCATTGTAACTTCCAAATTAGTTAACATACCTTTGACAATTTCCTGCATTTCACCACTTGTAATTGGTTTTTCATTTGGTGGCGAGTTTAATGCTTGCCTCTTGCTAGATCTTGAGGTATTATTAGTATTAAAACGGACTGGAGTGTTATCATTATTCACCTCCTTCCGGGTATCCCCGCACAGAGGACATAAAAAGGTTGAGTTTTTCGATACCACAGGGTCAATCTGGGTAGTAGCTAAACAGGCTGAGTGATAAGCCTTCAAGCATTTAGTACACTGAATATATGCACCCCCGTTGTATCCTAACGTACAGCATCCCCATTCCAAATCCTTCACATGAGGCGTTTGATGCGAAGACGAAGACATATTTGTTTATGTTTCAATATAAGTTTTGATAAATATTAAAAAAAACTGAATCAGTAAAAGTTCCACTGACAAAGTTCAACTTTAATGAATAGAGAAAAATAAAATGATAAAAAAAGCCAAAATAAAAATAAAAAAAATTCTAGGATTACAATATACTAAGCACTACCACACTGCGCCACAGAGAACTAGATGTTCTTGTCCAATTTATGAATTACATTCAACGTAATTATAAGCTTCTCGCAATCAATTTGAAATTCATAGGTCAAGCAATATATTCTTATAATAAGATTCCCAGTGATATTCCTGATTTCTCTGTAAATGAATTTAAAACACACACGTTAAAAATAGCATAAGAAAGGATATTATACTGATAAACAATATTTGAATGATAAATGCGGCAATTAGGACCTAATTGTTATCTTCAGAAAAAAAATTTAATTTTTTTTTTTACATCTGCTCATGTTTCTGTCAATCAATTCAATCTGTTTACTGGATAAACAATTTTCAAAATACATTTCGGGGCTTTATTGGGGGTATATTTATTGTTACCTTGTTTACATTATGCGATGGAAGTTGACTTCAATACATGTTTATAAGCTTTCAATTAGACGACACTGTACGAAATATTACATGGAGAAAAAAGCAGCCCTTGCTGAGTTTCTTGTCGCTTGTTCTCGGTACAAGGTCTCCCACCGTAGATTTACAAACCGATGGCGTAGCTTTCACATGTGCTTGTTAAAAAAAGCCTTAACTGAATATACGAATATTGATTGATTGATTTATATGATGATGGCCTGTGGTCATGTGGCGCGACCTTAGACATGAAGAATGAACTCAGCGTTCACGCGGATGAAGCGATTGAGCGGCCTCTTATTTGTTTGCGTTTGATGGTGGGCAATGTAGACTAGCACACGAGAGCTTAAGAAAAAAAAATATTGGTGGGATAAATTAACTCGTTCCACATGACATTCAGCATACATGAGCAGTGTTGCCAGGTAAGATTTTTAAAAATCGGGAGGCGTTATAGAAACAAACAATAGATATATGGAAAGAGTTACAAGAAAAAACAGTAGATGCAGGAGGCCATTCTAAGAAATCGGAAAAAGTATTTTCCGATTTCCTAGAATTGGAAAATCAAATCAAGATATAGGCCAGTAACGAATGTGTTTCTGTGGCTTCTGCCGCCCCTCAAACCTCGTTTTTTTAGACAATAACATTTTTATTATAATTTATAACATATATACATACATGCATATACAACATTTATGTTACCTACATAAGAAAATCGTATTCTAAGAAAAACAGAACATTTAACTGCTAGATGTTTAAATCTAAAGAAAAGTTTTACTAGAAAAAAAACACGCGGACCAGGCAGCGAACGGGACTCGAACCCGCACCCTTCGCAATCCGGGCGAATGCACTGACCAATTATGCTATCACGGCCCTGACGGCCGCGTCGAAATGTTCCTAGCCTTAAGCTGCAAGGCAGCGCCATCTCTTCGCATTGTAGGTAAACCACAATCTCTTATGTTCAACAGCTTACTTGGAGGTGTCTCACGGCCAGTGCTACAAGTTCCACCCCGAGTGTCTGTCGTGGAAGCGCGCCCACGTGGTGTGCTCCGCGGAAGGCGGCCATCTTGCCGTCATCAACAGCGCCGCGGAGGCACGCCTACTTCAAGAGCTGTACGCTAAGAAGTTTGAAACTATCAGCAGATGCAACAGCATATTCATGCACTTCGGCTTCCGTAATCCCGAGGAGAACGACTCGCCTTACTGGTTCACCATAGACGGTGAGTTGTAGACTCCGGCAAATTTCTTTGACATAAACCATAGAGAACGGAGTCTGCGAATTAGCAATTTTACATATAAAAACGTCTGTTCTGTTATGCTATTTGTAATCATGACATCAGTCTGTCCTTTCTATTCATTGTAGAGTAGACGGTGAGTTATAGAGTTATAGACTCCGGCAAAATTCTTTGACATAAACCATAGACAACGGAGTCTGCGAATTAGCAATTTTACATATAAAAACGTCTGTTCTGTTATGCTATTTGTAATCATGACATCAGTCTGTCCTTTCTATTCATTGTAGAGTAGACGGTGAGTTATAGAGTTATAGACTCCGGCAAACTTCTTTGGCCTAAACCATAGACAACGGAGTCTGCGAATTAGCAATTTTACATATAAAAACGTCTGTTCTGTTATGCTATTTGTAATCATGACATCAGTCTGTCCTTTTTATTCATTGTAGGGTAGACGGTGAGTTATAGAGTTATAGACTCCGGCAAACTTCTTAGGCATAAACCATAGACGACAGAGTCTGCGAATTAGCAATTTTACATTTAAAAACGTCTGTTATGCTATTTGTAATCATGACGCCAGTCTGTCCTTTTTATTCATTGTAGAGCATGATAAGGACAGACCGATGTCAAGTTTAGAAACAGCCAACTCGAATACCAAGTGAAGTCCGGCATTACACAAGTTTTTTTTGTCAATTTTGCTCAAGAAATTTGCCGCTACCTATCCCGGCCGATGCACTAACCGCTATGCTACCGAAACCTTAATGATCGTGACAAATTTCTTCTAGTATTTCTTAGGCTGCAAGGTAGCGCATCCGCCTGGAAAGCGGAAAACGCTGGTTCAAATCTTGGTCTACTTAGTTAGTGCGAATGAAATTTTTCTAGTAATCAAAATCTTTAGATTTGTATTACGAGCAGATTCATCATCAGCCTATTAATGTCCGCACTGCTGGGGCACAGGCCTTCCCTATGGATGAAATAGGGAGATTGGGACACGACCCACCACGCGGGCCCAGTGCGGATTGGCGGGTGCTAACGACTGCAGATTCAGCCGGGACTAGGGACAAATCTATCATAGTTTTCGTAATTGTAAATTATGTTTCTATGTCCATTTTGGTGAAAAGTAACCAAATATACTTAAAATTTAAGAAGACGCAAATGATTTAATGATAGAATTTAAACACTTTTTATTTATTTATATTGAAACGAAAACAATAAAATCAGTACCTACCCTTAGTACGAGCGCGAGCTCACGAAAACTATCATAGTTATCGTAATTGTAAAACTCGTACTAAGGGTACAGATTAATGCCTGAAATATACATAAGTATAATAGAAAAATATGCCATCCTGTCTGGCTCTTAAGTGGATGTTTTTTTTTTTTTTTTTTTATAGTTAGGTCCGACAAATGACTCCGCCCCACCTGATGTTAAGTGAAGGTGAAGTCCAGACGCGAAGATAGCTGATACAGCAGTTCTACCTGCCACACCAGCCATCCTCACCCTGCCGGCCTGCATGTTGCTTCTTCACGCCTCTTTTAAAGGATCCCAGGTTGTAAGAGGGAGGGAACACGTGAGCGGGCAGAGCATTCCATTTACGGATAGTGCGACAAAGAAATGAGTCACCAAATTTCTTTGTACGCGTTGGAATTGTGGCCACAGTAAGACGGTGACAACGTAGGCCAGCGCGCGTGGTCCTCTGAAGGAAAGGGGAAGGTGGGATAAGAGAGAATAACTCCTCAGAACACTCGCCGTGGTACAAACGATAGAACGCGCTTAGTGACGCCACGTCACGGCGTAATTGAAGAGGCTCAAGGTGTTTAGTCACCTCCTCATCGCCTATGATGCGGATCGCGCGCCGCTGTAACCTATCCAAGGCATCGAGCAAGTACTTGGCGGAGCCATCCCAGAGGTTTGGAATAAAGTTCCTGAAATTTCTCCAGGTCAGACGTTAGAGGAGGCCGGGTTCGCTGTGTGGGCGCCGAACCAGCCAGACAACTTCCTCAGCGTGGAGTACTGCGGCACCGCGATATTCCGCAACGCGACAGACGAGACGATGATGGCACTCAACGACATAGGCTGCTCCACACGCCTCTCCTTCATATGCGAGATCAATGGCGCGAGGGCCCCGTACAACGAACAATCCGAAGAACAACATTAAAATGTGTTTTCATACAATTTTTGTTTTCTTTTTTAAAACAAGCAGTCGTGTCGCCTGATTATAAGTTGTTGAGTTGTTAACTACGTTGGAGAGGATTGCTTCAACTTTTATTGGCCACCAAGAAAATCTTTATGTTTGAGTCTTTCGATGTTGCTGCTCCTGCACCAACGCTTTTACAAGACTATTTAGTTGAGCAAGAACTTTCCCTTTGTGATTCTCCTTATATCTGTTGATTTTAAAAGCCAACAAATTAGCTCTTAACTACAATATTTATCTACCTTTTCAAGTATATATTTTTTATATAAAAATCCCCGACTGATTCCACTCCACCTGATTGTCGTGTCGAATTTTCTCTAGTATTTCTTAGGCTGCAGGGCAGCGCATCCGCATGGAAATCGGAAAACGCTGGTTCAAATCCTGGTCTACTTAGCTAGTGCGAATGAATTTTTTCTAGTAATTAATTAATCTTTAGATTTGTAATACGAGCAGATTAATGCTTAAAGTATAATATAAAAGTATGCCATCCTGCCTGGCTCTTGAATGGATGTTCGGACAAAGTTCCTGAAATTTCTCCAGGTCAGACGTTAGAGGAGGCCGGGTTCGCCGTGTGGGCGCCGAACCAGCCAGACAACTTCCACAGCGTGGAGTACTGCGGCACCGCGGTATTCCGCAACGCGACAGACGAGACGATGATGGCACTCAACGACATAGGCTGCTCCACACGCCTCTCCTTCATATGCGAGATCAATGGCGCGAGGACCCCGTACAACGAACAATCCGAAGAACAACATTAAAATGTGTTTTCATGCAATTTTTGTTTTCTTTTTTAAAACAAGCAGTCGTGTCGCCTGATTATAAGTTGTTGAGTTGTTAACTACGTTGGAGAGGATTGCTTCAACTTTTATTGGCCATCAAGAAAATCTTTTTGTTTCATAACCATAATCATAATCATAATTGCTTCATGTTGGTACATACATGGGTTCTTAAATTTAAAATAAAGATTCACAGCATGAGCCCTGCAAGGGCATTGCAAATTTTCTTAATTTCTAACAAACAATAGTAACACCTAATAGTAATACATGTGATAATTATGCTTATATATTATTTCATTATTTGTCCTGATTAAATAGAAATAACATTAATGAAATATTTACATTTAATTATTTTTAATTATATTTGTTTGTTTGAGTCTTTCTATGTTGCTGCTCCTGCACCAACGCTTTAACAAGAGTATTTAGTTGAGCGAGAATTTTCTCTTTGTGATTCTCCTTATATCTTTTGATCTCTTGGCAAATTTTTTGGCACATAAATAAATGTCAATTTGTTTTATTTACCTTTTCAAGTATATTTTTTTTAAATAAAAAGGTCCGGCTGACTCCACTCCACCTGATGGCCGTGAACGCGAATTTTCTCTAGTATTTCTTAGACTGCAAAGCAGCGCCATCTCTTCGCATTGTAGGTAACCCACGATGCCAAATCAAATACCTTTACAAGTATTCAACATCTAAAAGAAGAAATAGCAAATGTAGTTTATTATATTTTTTTTATTTTTTAAGCATTTATCTGCTAGTTGTTTAAACCTAAAGAATATTTTACGAGAATTAAATTTCCGGACCAGGCAGCAGATGGGACTCGAACCCGCACCTTCGCAATTTTCTTTGAATCGCGCTGAAGGTACTACATAGATTTTGATTGCATAAATCGACAGAATAATAGTCTTTCATATTAAAGTGGCCAAAAGTCCGGTTTTCGTAATTTTTATAAGTATTTAGGACACATCGTATGTATGTAATGAGGAGCTCGATGGCGCAGGTGGTTAGCGCGTTCGGCTGCGATCGTTGTAGTTAAGCAACTTTCGCAGTGGTCGGTCATTGGATGGGTGACCAAAAATTTCTATCTCGAGTTCCTCCGTGCTTCGGAAGGCACGTTAAGCCGTTGGTCCCATTTGCATCTGCAGTCGATAGCACCCACCAATCCGCACTGGGCCCGCGTGGTGGGTCATGGCCCAATCTCCCTATTCCATACAAAGGGAAGGCCTGTGCCCCAGCAGTCGATAGCACCCACCAATCCGCACTGGGCCCGCGTGGTGGGTCATGGCCCAATCTCCCTATTCCATCCATAGGGAAGGCCTGTGACATTACGAGGCTGATGATGATTATGTATGTAATGTACCTAGGTAATGAACGACTGTTCAATTAAACCTCCCGCCTGCCCATAGACGCGTTATTATCGGTCGATAATATCGGGCATGGAGGTTAGAGATAAGGAGAACGATTGCTATAGAAAATGGTGTTCCAGAAATATGGACAAAATAAGTGAGGCGCTGCGATCGCTAAGTTGTTGCGCTTTGTACATTATTCAACTAACTTCATCTACTTGTACTCAAAAACAGCTAACTTCACAGATACTACTTACCGACAAATTTTCATGGACGCGATTTAAATGCTTTTAGTACATAGCGATCGATCCCCTTATCTCTAACCTCCATGATATCGGGTGTCGGCCGTTGACAAGTCGACGGCTGCCGTCAAAATGTGGTGACTGGCAGTTGCCGCTCGTGCTTATCACCGAGTATTTATATGAAAATGTATGAACATTAATGTATATATATGTACATATATATCATCATCATCATCATCAACAGCCTACATTAGTCCACTGCTGGACATAGGCCTCTCCAAATGCACGCCACTGAGGTCGATCTTGGGCTACTCGCATCCAGCCACCTTGCGCAAATCGTCACTCCACCGTGCCCGAGGACGTCCTACACTACGTTTGCCTAGACGCGGTCTCCACTCCAGAACTCGTCAACCCCAACGGTTATCGGTTCTGCGGCAAATATGGCCAGCCCACTGCCACTTCAACTTGCTAATTCGATGGGCTATATCGATAACTCTGATTTCTGTTGCGATCCTTCAGAGAAACGCCGAGCATAGCCCTTTCCATAGCGGGCTGAGCGACTTTGAACTTGTGGGCCAGCCGTACCGTCAGTGTCCACGTTTCGACTCCGTGTGTCATCCCAGGACACATTGATTAAAGACTTTCGTCTTGAGTCATTGTGGGATCGACGATGTCAAGACCCGACGTAGCTTTCCAATCGCTGCCCAACCCAGCTGAATTCTTATATTCACGTCGTCCTCAAAGCTAACCTAACTGCAATGTCTGCCCGAGGTACACATAATTTTTGAACAACTTCGAGAACGGCACCGTGTATTGTAATCGGTTCCGGTAGAACATGTTGATTGAACATGACCTTGGTTTTATCCAAGTTTATCCGTAGGCCGATGCGTATAGAAGAATATACATATATATATATATATATATATTCTCTCCTCCACCAAACAGATAGGTTTTGTGTCTCGCCCATGTATGCTGCGCCAATTTGCTCGGTGTTGTGCCATCCGGATTCAGTTCCTTCCTGTTACTTTGATGTCGTCATCGGACCATGATTGATATAATATTTTATTAGCTATGTGATACTAAAATAAAATGAAACGTTTTCCTCAAAGACGTTAAACAAAAAAGCCAGTAACTGGACAAACCACATTGGAGATTTCCCTGTTTTGATGGCTGATTTTTAAACCCGCTATATTTATTATCGATCAGTAATTAATATGAATTATAGTGAATTTGAACATAGGTAATTAAAATTTTAACATAGGTAATTAAAGTTGTATCGGGCATGTTATTTTTAGCTACACTGATGAAAAATTAATGAATTGAAATGCCCGAGGTGCGGGCAAGAAGCAACCAAGTATGTTGTGTTGTATATTCGCTCCTTGCCCTCGCGTTCCGTACAGGCAATATTTTTTTATTAACACCTTTTCAGAATTAGGATCAACGGTCATAAAATTAAAGTTTGCAGCGAAGTCGTTAAAACTTTTAATTTCAACTTTTGCATTTAAATTAGGACCTTATATTCAATCTTTCAGCAACCTAACACTTTTCCGGGATAAAAAAAAAGTATCCAATGTCCCAATCCAGGTAATAAACTATATGTGTGCCAAATTTCATCCCAATCAGTGATTAAGTAACAAACATAGAATTTTTCACATTTATAATATTATAAGTGGGATATTCATGGTGACTTTCAATGTTTAATTATATAATGGTGTCAATTCTGGCAAGATTCTCTAAACCTAAACTTAAATTTGACAACAGTGTTTAATTTTAATTTCGTTTATTGTATTGTGAATTTTGACCTCATCTTTATGGGTCAGAACTGAAAATCAGCAATTTACTCTCTGAGTAAATGTTACGCTGAGTTTTCGTCCATTCGCATCGCTGCTGCACACGAAAATTTCATAGTATAGTTGTATAAATATAATTTGTTGCATGTTTTAAAGGATTTATATTATTGTAAAAGGACAATGTTAAAATTGGCCTAAGAACCAGCACCAATTTGGCATCTATGATAATTCGTAGTATATTTTTTGCGATAATTATCAGTATTTAGATTGTGACGGACACTTCCAGTTAGGTAAGCTAAATTAAAAGTTAAAAAATAATCTGAGACAATAAATACCATTTTATGTGTATAATCTATGACAGCGCTGCAAACAAAACACTCTTTCTTCCTAATGCCGGCACTTCACTTGGCAATTCGTATTTGCTATTTTAAAACATGACATCAGTCTGTCCTTTTCATTCCTTATTAAGCATGACAAGGACAAACTGTTGTCAAGTGAAGGGCCGGCATAAAACTCGTTACTCTGTGGTTGTTGTGCTTGCAGTTTGCATTCGTAGTAATCTGTGGCGTGCATTCCAAAGAGTAGTATAATTTAATTAATATACCGATAAGTGCATTCTCGTTTCAGATTACCTCTTGTGTGTGTTCATTTGCGGTTGTTTTTCCTTTAACTATTTCGGCTATCTAATATGCCATCGATGTTACCAAAGAGCAGAGCCCTTATTACCAAGTGCTAGTGAACCTGTGCCACAACATCCTGAGAGGATCATACTGCCAAATTATTCAAGAACACCTGATACACATTCACGATGCATATTTACACAATATACATGTGATATACAAATAAATACAATATATATTATGATACAATTATGTGAAAAATAGTCAATAAATAAGAAGCAAAACTACAGTTTTTATTTTATTCATGATTCCAACCTAACCAAGTTTTTCCTAATAGATATTCTTTAAAATCGCACCAAATAAAATTAATTAGTTGTAATATTAATTCACTTCATACTAAGTTCATAGGTTGACTTATGTTTCATTGAATATTAAAGATAACCTCAAAAAAAATTTAGTTTTCCTGATAATTTAAGTTCTCAGAAGTGTCCGTCAATAATCTTTGTTTTTACAGTCATTTACTTACGATTTCGAACCTAGAAAATAATATTTCATGATTGTTGGTTCTTAGGCTAACTATGTATGGACACTGAACAATGTCCTTTGTCTTCAATTTTGTATGTGCATGTTGGTGCGAATAAAGTTTTATCTATCTATCTATCCTTGTCATTTTCTATACAGAATGAAAAGGAGAGACTGATGTTACATTTAGGTTTAAGTTTAGAGAATCATGCCAGTACTGACACCATTGTGCTACTTATATTGTTTTGGTTACGCGATCATCCCACAGATCTCCGTGGATCATTCGGTGTATGTACTTTTAAGACAGGTTTCTGTCACGACTTTGTTCTTAGTCCGAGTTTAAAATATTACTATTATTAGCATTTAGACCTCCATTTTTATTCAGGGTAGACGGTTTGAAACATCCGAATCGGTATTTCAAAAACCGAGATACTGTTTTTAAATCACAGAATTCTTTTTTTTTTTGACCCGGAGAAATGCGTTACGCATACCCCGCCGCTGGGTAGACGACGGGGTTATGTGAGACTCCTCCCCCCAAGGGTGGATCCAACTTTGGCGCCAGGGGGGGGTCTTATAGTCGTGATCAAGTCATAGTGGATACAGATTGGAAGTACAGATTGATGAAGTGGGTACAGATGGACCCAGCCCAGGGGAGGGTCATGCCCCCCCCCCCCCGGGCCCGCCCTTGCCTGTCTATCAAACACAATTAACCCTGTTATGGTTAATTGTTTATTTAAAGTAGATAGTCATCTAAGAGGGAAGAGTATTATGTATGTATATGTCATCGAAATATAATAAATTCTGTAAGTTGATCAATTACCTAGGAAATTGATCAACTTTCGTAAGAATGTAAACGAGAGATAAAATGTATTATCTTACGGGAACATTTTCGTAAATTGATCAATTTACCGAGCTCAGCCGTAAAATAATACGTTAGTTGATGAACAAAAATTTTACATAGAGCTACAAAAGTTTGATAGTGGACATGACCAAACCAGTGAAAAGTCGGTACTTATGGACCGAACAAAAATTTAAAAATTTGACGAAGGTATTATAGGTTATCACTGTACTTCCAGTGCCCAAGAAGTGATACTTGATTTCTTTTTTTGAAGTCTCTTTTAACATAGCTTTTTTTCTGGCGCTTCGCCGGCCGCTGCCGTGGCACGCTCGCTTTGCTCGCTCGGCTCGCGCGTTTTGGCCACAACACTAACATAACCTAACCTAGTGTAAAGTATCACCGCTTGGGCCCTGGAAGTACAGTTCAGTACTTTAGCACACTTATGGGCACTTATACAGTCATCTTGTTTATGAAAATATTTGCACATGTCTGATCGTACCTAAGTCTATGACGGCAAGCACAGAAGTCGCTAACGGCGATCAATCAGAAAGCTGTGTATTATTTTACGTAAATTTAAAATTAAACTCTGTTCGGGGAATGGTCACACTACTTAGAATTTTACGTTGATAGGTCTTGAAATTTCAAGTTAGTTTATCAATTTACCGCGAGACGTCGTAAATTGATCAATTTACGAAAATGTTCCCGTAAGATAATACATTTTATCTCTCGTTTTCTATCTTACGAAAGTTGATAAATTTACTAGTAAATAGATAAACTTACGGAATGAATTACATTCCGGTGACATACATACATATGTAGGT